TAAGAACAGTTATATTTTAATATATGTTAATTAGGAAAGTCATAACAAAAAGACTGCTATGAATTTAGCAACAATTTCAATCAAATTTTTATTTCTTAAATACCATTGCTGTGGCATACAGGTACATGAAGAAAATTGCAAGATAATGGATATGACATTTTCATAGTTTAGAGGGCTTTATTTATTGACACCAAAATCAAATGACCATTAGCTGCCAAAAGCTTATTATTTCCTTATTCCTTACTATGTAGTATCTCGAGTGTGACAAACCTCTAGGAAGGGGAAGAAGGAAACTATTACGCTTGTTATTATCAGTAACCTTTTGTTCTCTCTTCCTCTCTTCAAAATTCTAGTACTCAAGGGAAAGAAGCTCAGCCTGCCAGCGTAAGTGTCAAAGACCAGCATCTGTCCCTCAGGGTGCTTGGACAGAATTCTTACCACAGCAAAGGCACAAGATGCTTGATATGGAACATCAGAAACTTCACTCTTTTGTTGCAGATCGTCATCGTGGCTCTGTAAGAACCCAGAGGAAAAGAACCGGAAGGTTTCTGTTTAATGCATCTTGCCTTATCTTTTTTTATTACTATGTACAAAGATTTTTTTACATAAAGAAACTTAATGCTGTATTAATAAATTCAGTATGTAGCTTCAATTGGGGTAGTTCCAAAAGTGAAGTTTTTGTGAGGAATAAGTGCAAACTTTTTTTTTAATTCTTTGAAATTGTTGATTCTTTGTGTCTGCAATGAAATTGTACTCCTTGACAGTTGGTAGATTATATATTCTTCCATCTATCAAACTTGCATTCCACTATATTTATTTTTTGCCAAAAGATGAGTTATATTTGTTTGAAATCTGAGACACTATGTTTAGTTTGGTCTGTCTGTTCAAATTACTTCCCACCTGATATGGAAACCCTTCAGGCATCACAACACTACATTTAAGGCTGGTAAGGATGACTTGCAAGTCTTAAGGTTTCATTACCAAAATGTTAAGATTCTGAATGTAGATGGAGTCTCATTTAAGAGTCACCAAAGGTGCCTGCCCTCCTCCCCTGCTAAGAAGCGTCAGTTTGAGACGTCCCAAGGGTGTTGAAGGGGCTCTGGGCTACTTGCTATCTGAGTATGAGATGTGAGGAAGATTAATTATTATGTTGGATCTGGGACTCAACTCTGAGGAAGGAGCACAGTGGTTACCTATCACTTTAATTTACAATTTCAGAAGATTGCCCATGCTCAGATTCAAACATTTTCATACCACTTTTGGGTGGTAAAATGGTTTCCTTTTTTTTTTAATTGGCAGCACCACCAATTGCCATTCTTATACTCTCACATTTTTTGTTTTTTGGGTTGTTTTGGTTCTGTTTTTATTGATCTCTTGCATGATTTATCTTGTTTTGCCATCCTAAATAAACATTAAGTACAGAGTAAACTTTTTTTAATGAGTCAGGCTTTTGAAACATCCTATGTCAGGATGGTTTTTTGTTGTCAGTTGGCAACAAAAGCTCTATGTAGGGCTGCAAACATTTGTTGTCCACTTAATAATCTAAAACTGCCTGTATTTTGTGGGGGAATTGGAATTTTTCCTTCTGATTTTGCCATTATATTCATTTGCTGCATTTTTTTTGATTTATGCAAAAGCATGACTTTTATGTGATGCACCATAAATGTTAAAGTGTTGAATACTAACAGTGCTTACTACAAGGAGGATGTGGTATTTCTGCTTTCTACATTGAAATATCTTGTGGAGGAAGGGAGCTGGATGGGTTTTACTTTTATCTAATGTGTCTTAACATCTTTCTAAATTGGCAGTGTAACTGCATAGTTTAAAATCCTATCTTTCTCTCTCATTTTGCTTCCCCCCCCCCTTGCCTCATGTTTTTGCTTTTGTGTATCAGAGTATCTTTCTTTCCAGCATCCTAGTCTTGCCTTTGGTTTCTGTTTTACCCTCCTTGAAACATTATGAGAGTGTGGAGGAAGGGTGGGAAATCCCATCATAAGTAGAGCAGACTTCTTGCTGCCCGCACTTGGGGTGGGGTAAGGTGAGGGGCTCACAACTCTTTTTGTGCATGTACATCAAATACAAGTGGGGACCATTTATTGGAGAGCACAATGCATAGAACAAGGATCTTGGACCAGCATGCCACCTGATGTGTGAAGTATCAATGCCTTTTTAGTCATTCTGCCCATGAAAAAATAAAATTGGTTAAGATGTTAACCATTTTGCGGCCAACTAGGATGACATCTTAATGAATAGGGTGCCTGAGTGGGATTGCGGTACTGGAGCAGTGTCTTCGCACATGCTGGAAACAAAGACCTTGTATGATGCGCCTTATGAAGCACTGTTTCAGAGTTCCTTTCACTTCCTGAATAAAGGTTATCAGGTAATTAATATTTTTTTGAGCTGTTTTATTTGTGTGAATTTTTTTTTAATGTAAGCATGAGGAGAAATAAAGCAAAATAAAAATTCGCCTGCTAAATGATAACTTTGAAAAGTTGCTGACTGACTGTTGGCTACAGTCCATTCCCTATCCAGTTCAATCACAGTGTTAGAACAAACATTTCCTGCTTCCTCACAGTCTGATCAAGAGAAAAGTAAGGTAGAGAAACAGATGGCAAGAAAAAAATTTTGTTGTTTTTGGAAAAGGTCAAGGCCTTGGGAGAGGATCCACCCAGCCTTTCCAAAGATGCCACTAAATGGGACAACTTGGAAAGATGAAGTAAAGACTGTTTCAACAAATCATCAAGGGTTTGTGGGAATCCCAAGTAAAAAACAAACTTTGGGGTCTGCTGTCTGCTGAGTCTTGGCTCCCCACACTCTGCTTTGTGACCCTGGATTTAACATTAGCCTCGTTCCTTCAGTTCCACGCAGAGATCCCTGCCAGGATTTCTGTGAGGTGTGAAGCTTGCAACACAGCTTCGTGCACATTGAGTGCCCAGCGCCTCAGGGACCCCCATTCCTCCTCCCTTTCTTTGGCTTAGGACAGCTGCCTCAAAAGCCAGCTGGGAACCAATCCTAGCAGGAGTCTCTTTGGCTGTTGATGACATTGGTCACTTTTGCCCTTGTTGGGAGAGCAAAGCATCATCCATAAAAATTGACTCTAAGTACCTTCCAAAACCACCCTAGTGAGGTCTGATGATGGGTGGTTGAACTCCATGTGGGTTTTTTCTGTGTGCGCTGCCCTCTAGTGGCTGAATGTGGAATTTCCAAGAAACCTGCACACCACCCAGTACATGCTGTAGGCGCCCCCCTACTATGGGTTAGCCTTTGTAGTGTGGAGTCTTGTGTAGGGGCCTTGGGGTCCAGTTCTGAAACAACTCCCTCTTATATCTGCAATTTAAAAGCAAGTTGTAGCATAATATGGCACTAATCCTTTAAAGCAATGACAAGGATACTCTTAGAGAATACTCCAGAAACCTGAGTTTCATGTGGGACACTTTAAAGGTGAGAGTCTTTAGGCACACACTACACTACACTTGACTTACCAGAACAGAATAGAAATAGCTATTTTTAATAGGATATTGAAAGTCTGTGTTTAAAATAAGGGAATGAATATGCTTTGTATGAGATACCCAGGTAATGGAATGTTTTAAAAAAGGTTTAAGTCAACCAATGGAATGTTATGTGGAAATGATAGAATATAGTTGCCAAGAATAGAATTGTACAGAATACATTTACTTTAAAAATGAAATGTATACTACCTCTTTGAAATTATATCATTTTGTAGGTTACTATTTGTATTATCAAGTTCACAGTATCTTCTTTACTAACAAAAGTTTATGTAGGCTCATTATCTTATTGCTAAGTCTTACAAATCCTGTTTTGAAAAGAGAATTAGTGTATTTAAGAATATGTGTGATCACAGGCAAAACCTAGCTTCTGAATCACCCTTTTTCACCTTAATTCCTATTCTTCCTCCAGATCTCATTGTCTTCTTCAGGAAGTCTTCTCCAACCTTTGTGATTTTAAGTCACTGGTAGCCACACCAAGTGCTCAATATTTATTTTATGAATGGATGAATGGTTCTCTTTACTATGAAAACGTCCTAGCTGCTCTATTTACAATTCCCTGTATCATTTTCATAATCATCAGTACAATTTCAGTGATTACTTTTTGCCCTGCTCTTTAGAAGACCTCTGAATGAATTTAAGATTTGGAAAATCTTTACATTTAATTATTTTGTTTATTCATTAAGTATTTAATAAGTGCCTATAATGTGCTATATTATGTGCATAGCAGTGAACAAGAAGGTCAAGGTGCCTAGGCTCACGCAAATTTACGATGTCAGGAAGTGATTAAGTGCTGGGAAGAAAACTAAAGCAGGGTGAAACAATGGGAGCCGATGGGTTTGCCATTTTAGATAAGGTGGCCAGAAGGCCTCTTCAGGGGGTTAAAGTTATGCACAAAGTGCAGCCTTTCCAGATCCTAAATTAGATAGGCTCTGACGGCCCAGCAGTTACTCGTACCGCACTAAGGTTGTCGTAGCGGGGACGCACTGTATGGGGGCAGGGCAGCGTGATGAAGAACAGTGCGGAGACCGGGCCAGGCACGAGGTGAAGGCACGAGGCTTGGACCACGGTGGAGGACAGTGGAGGAGCTGAGAAGCGCTCAGAAGCTAAGGTAATGAGCGAGGGGCTGCCTGCTCGCGGGTTGGGAGGGCAGATGAGGCCATTCCCCAGGCCCCCAAACCACACTGCCGGGTGGTTTCTGACCTTGAACTCGAGAAGCGTTCTAATGCGGCACTCCTAACCATCTGTGACCAAGTCACAGGCTTGGAGTCCCATAAGCCCCAGATACGTCAGTAACAGCCATGAGTCTCTGGGCTGCCTAAACCTTAACGGGCCCGACGAGTCCTTATCAATAAAATGAGAGTATCAGCAGAACCCACTTCACACGCGCAGACGCGTCGTAAATCTGACCAGTGTCTTCAGGGTCAGCGCATCTGCGCAGTCGCAGAGTCCCGCAGGCGCCTGCTCACACACGACGTGCGCCTGCGCGGAATCGCCGTTACTTTGGCGTCTGAGCCGGGAGGTGTGGAGGGGTACGGGACAGAGAGCGGCGGCGGCGGCGGCGGCGGTCGCACGGCGCGGCGGCCCGAGACCGGGCAGCGGGCCTTCGCCATGCCAGGGATGGTGCTCTTCGGCCGTCGCTGGGCCATCGCCAGCGATGACTTGGTCTTCCCGGGGTTCTTCGAGCTGTTCCTGCGAGTGCTGTGGTGAGAGCGGCGGGCTCTGAGGGCGGCCGGGTCGAGGAGGGAGCGGGGTGCGCCGGACCAGAGCGGGGACAGTGCTGCCAGGTGACGGCGCGCCATGTGGTGCCCACCATCCCCGTGGAAGCGGGTGCTGTCGCTTCCCCAGTTTTTCAGATGGCACGCCGAGGCCCGGAGCGGTGGGCTTGGACCTCCGTGGTGCAGCGCGCGGCACCCACTGCAAGCGGCGCCGAGCACAGGCCCTGAGGCGCCAGCACGTCGGTGCCGCTCTAGAGCCATGGCCTTGGAGTCTCCATGGTGCCAGAGCGGCGCCCTGCGTGGAGCACGGCATCGTGCATCTGCCAAACGTACCGTGGGGAATTATGCCCTCTGGTGCCATTCTTGAGCCGGTTGTGGCCGCATTCCCTGAGAAGCGGACATGCTTGGTATATACGCTCTCGTCATATAAGCGTGGAATCAGTGGGGAGTGGAATTGGTTGTGCCTGAAGTCTGTTCCCAGAGGGTCTGAGCACTGTTATAAAAAAGTAGATTCTTGAGGGGAAGGGAATATATAAACCACGAAATGTTATGAACTGCTTCTCAGTGGTTTCATAGTTTCAGAGCCACGTTTTTCTGAGATAATTACCCATAATTATTTCTAGACACAGAGTCATAGCACAAAACTGACAAAAGCATAAAAAGTTACCTAGTCCACTTCTACGTCTGGGCTTGACTCCTTAATACTGCCTTCTTGCCTAATGGCACTCTGCTCTCTGCTGAAATACCTCTATGATGGGTGGGTCGCCATTACTGAACATTGGTGCTTTCATTGTTCTACCCGGAATTACGAAATAAATTTATGAATCCTTTCAAGTTTATTAGGGTTCACCACAGACCGTCTTTGCATAACCTGCTTCCTGCCCTTGTTTTTATATTACATGCATCGATTAGAATGTGTATCAATTTCTTGTTAATCCACAGAAGTAAAAATTCTGTTAATAATTTAGCAAGCATATCGTTTGCTGGTTTACCACTTGTGTATTTATGAGTCATCATGGGGCTGCTTTCCAGCTGCTAACATTACATGCTTGCTTATGGCTTTAAATGCCCCTCATGTATTAGAGCAGGCATAGAATAAGAACAATTGTGTAACTATAGGAAGTATAAAACCCATTAAAAAAGAAAAAGAAGGTCATACTCTTTAGTTGACTTAGATCTTTTATTAATGAAATTTATATTTCCAAGTGAACCTCACTTTGTTTTGGAAAATTTTAACTCCTTTTATTTCTTTGTGTCAGATTTTACAGAGAAGCTCCTCAGACTCCATTTAGAACCCTCCTTATTTCTCGGCAGGTGGATTGGCATTCTGACTTTGTACCTCATGCACAGAGGGAAGCTGTACTGTGCTGGTGGGGCTCTGCTCAGCAGTTACTTGATCGTTCTCCTTGTTCTCCTGGCAGTCGTTATATGTACGGTGTCAGCCATTGTGTGTGTCAGCATGAAAGGTAAAGGGTAGCCTTTTCCATTTAACACCTATTCTTTATTCATAGCTTTACTGAGATAGGATTTACCTACCAGACAGCTCACCCATTTAAAGTGTACACTTCAGTGATTGTTAGTATATTGTTCAATCATCGCCACAATTTTGGAACATTTTCATCATCCCGAAAAGAAGCCCTGTGCACATTAATGATCATTCCTCATTTCTACCCAATTCCCTCAGACCGAGGCATCCACTAATCTACTTTCTCTGTATAGATTTGCCTGTTCTGAACATCATACAGGTGGAATCAACCACTATGTGGCCCTTTGGTCTGTCTTAAACTCAGTGTATGTTTTCAAGGTTCTTCCATGTTGTAGTGTGTATGGTACTTCATTCCTTTTTATGGCTGAGTAATACTACATTGAGTGGCTAGGCTACGTTTTACTTATCCATTTATCTATTGGTGGGCTTTTGAGTTATTTCCACTTTTTGGCAGTGCTGCTGTGAGCATTTATTTGCATGCATGTTTTTGTGTAGATGTATGTTTTCATTTTTCTTCGATGTGTACCTAGGGGTGGAATTGCCAGATCCCATGGAAACACTATGTTCAACCTTCTGAGGAACTGCCAGACTGTTTTCCAAGCATCTGTACTTTTTTCTTTCCCACCAGCAAGAGTTCCAGTTTCTCCACATCCTCACCAACACTTGCTATTATCTGACTTTTTGATCATAGTCATCCTAGCAGATGCAGAATGGTTTCTTTTTTTTTTTTGCTATCATTAATCCAAAATTACATGAAGAACACTATGTTTACCAGGCTCCCCCCCACCAAGTCCCCCCCTACACACCCCACTACAGTCACTGTCCATCAGTGTAGCAAGATGCTGTATAATCACCACCTGTCTTCTCTGTGTCGTACAGCCGTCCCCGTACCCCCCCCAACACTATACATGCTAATCCAGAATGGTTTCTTATTGTGATTTGCATTTCTTTGATGATTAGTGATATCCAGCATTCTTTCATATGCTTATTGGCCATTTATATATCATTTTTGGAGAAATGTCTACTCTGATCATTTGTTTAACTTTAAATTGGGTTGTTTGTCCTTTTATTAATGAGTTGTGAGAGTTACATCTGTTCTTAATGATAGTTTTTTCCTACATGTTAAGATTTCTGCAGATAGTCACCGAGCTGAAATGTCTCTGAAAATGTTAGAAATCTCCCCCGTTTGGTTGCTCTGGTACAGAGAATGAGGTGAGCGTTCTGTTGACTAATAAAGAAATGTATTAGTAAGTAAAAACTCAACAGTCAAAGGCAGGGCTGTATGGCATACCACTCTCCAGCGTATTTCAGTGTTTTATTATTGTTTAAATCGGGGTGTAGGTGGTGTCCATACAGATTAGATGATGATAAAACTGGAGGAAGTAACTGATAGAATGGTGACAAAATTAAGATCTTGACAGTTGGAACAGTAGACTGAAACTTACAAGTGGTAGTTCACAGAGAGTAACAGACAGTGGCAAGGTGTTTCATCATAAAAGAACTGTAGGGGTTTGGATTGCCAAATGGATTGCGCCCGCTTCCTGTAGTTACAGCACTGTGTTTTACTATGTCTCTGCAAATGTGAATGCAAGGGATCTGGGTCAGAGGAGGCCCCAGTTCTGTGGTCTGTGTTGGTCCCCAAGGCTGGGTTTCATTGGCACTGGGTGCAGAAAGAAAGGAAGGAGCTGAACATGCACAGTGGGGCTCTAGTGCCAGGAAGTTTTTCAATGAAATCAGAATTTCTGAAAAATAATGTATTTGATTGGTGTCATTTCAGATACAGAATCTCTAATTTATTTGCCTTTTCTGTTCAAGTCATATTCTGGTTAGTAAACCAAGTTTACATCTGTGGTAGTAAGTTCAGATCTGAAGCAGTAAATGTAAGATTTTTCCCTAAAATGTTTTTCTTTGGGTAGTTTTGGTGGTTTCAGGGCACGTTCACACCACTGTGTTGGATGGACTGTACTCAGGCATCCCCTAGGACTCACACAACACTTCAGCCCCCTGCCCGCTCCCCGCACTCCTGGTCAGAGCTCAGGGAATGTCTGCTGGCTGGCTGGAGTGCTAGGGGGCATTGCCTATCCAGCAGCCCTCTCCAAACGGAACTTGGTTTGATTGAGGATATCCCCCGATCCCTCACATGCAGTGTGCATGTGCCAGAGAAGCTCGCCCTCTGCCCAGGTCAGGAGTGATCCTCGTGTCAGTGATTGGTTCAGGAATAGGCATGTGACCTAACTGGAGCCAGTGACATTGGAGGAATTTGCTGGAAGTTGTGGGGAAGTCCTTCCTTGCTCCTTGAGGAAAGATTCAGAAGCAACATGTGTATTCCTCCTGGAAGGTTCCTGCTGTTGCTCCATTCACAGCCCAGGATGAGCTGACATGCAGAGGAGGGCAGAGCCGTGAGAAGCTGGCCTGGCCCCTCACAGCCCGTCCCTGAGATCACTAGTGGCCCTTCCTGTTTTTAAACCAGTTTGAGTTGTATTTTCTTTTCTGTGACTAGAGATGGCACAGGTGGAAGTGAAAATAGTGTTAGTTTAATTGCCGATTGAAAATCATGTTAGTTTAATTACCAATTTGTTACACATAATTAACATTGCATGCCTTTTTAAAACTAGTATGTAAATTTCAGTGAAAAATACCATGAAGCAAAGAAAAGAAACAAGGCAAATTGGAAAAAATATTAAACACATGAGGCTTCAAGCCAATCTCCTTAAGGGCTTTTGTGATACGTAAGGAAAAGATCAATAGTCAGAAAATTGGGCAAAGATCATGAACAGTAAAATATGTACTATAAATATAATATATAATAAGGGACTTACACATATAAAAAATATTCAGTAAGAATTTTCTTACAGTGAGAAAAATTCACCTGGATAATACACTGAGCTGGTGAGGCTGCATTGAGTCGTTCTGTTGGTGGGAACATAAGATTCGTTGAATGTCGTGGAAGCCTAATTTGGCTGCGTCTGTACCAGTATTTTCACATCTGTTGGTACTTGTAGAAATACTTGTGTGTTGTTTGTGGATATGAAAGATTGGAACAAACTCAGTGCCTGTCAGTAGGCCACTTGTTAGGTAAAGGTAGTTCATTTGAATGATGGTTTACTGTGCCTCTGTTGAAGAGAATGAGAAATGCTTCATGAACAGATGAAGAATGAATTCCAATGTACTGAGGTGCAGGACATGATATGCAGTTTGCTGTTTTTTCTGAAGGGTATAAATTTTACCTGCTTTGTTTACATGCAGACTCTGGGAGGCTGTACAAGTTGCTGGTTTACTTCTAGGAAGGTAACTGAAAGACCAGGTCAGAGGTGGGAGGAGGGCTTAGTATTTACTTTATTCCTACTTAAACTACTTGAACCTTTTGCCCTTTGCATGCCTTCCATGCACAAAATCAATGAGTTGTTTACAAATTGTAAATTTTAGCCATTTTTAAAAATACTTTAACACATTGGTACATTTTAGCCTTGGTATGTGAATGACCCCCATTACCCCTTTGTTTCATGGGTCATCTCAATAGTGAGCCTGCCTTGCTGAGCCGCAGACAGTGTGTGTTTAGCTTTGATTGACAGACTTCTCTAAAAGAAACCCCACATTTCATGGGTCATCTCAATAGTGAGCCTGCCTTGCTGAGCCGCAGACAGTGTGTGTTTAGCTTTGATTGACAGACTTCTCTAAAAGAAACCCCACAAGTTGTAGAGGGCACATTTGGAACAAATGGAATTCAGTCATGTTTTCCAGAAGCCTGATGCTTAGGTATTTACCTGTCTTTTTTTTTTTTTTTTTTGTCACTAGAGTAGCTTAGTTGGGAAGAATCTTGATATGGCTGTAGTTTCTGGTTTTGATTTGAGAATCTGCTGATGAAAGCCTGTTCTTACTGCATAGGTTTAATTGGGGAGGGTCCAGCCTCAGGCCTACCACATTTTGAGAACACCCTCTACACCCAGGGTCTGCCACTCACAGTGTTTGGTTTTGATTGTAAGACATGAGCTTGTGTCTCCTGCTCTGGATATCAGGACCTCATTGCCCGTCTGCCAGAGATGACTGCAGTGGCTCCAGGCGTTGCATCCAGAGGTGATGCGACATAGGCCTTCCTCCTCTTGCTATTGCATAAATGGCTGTGTCTGATGAAGGACAAGCAGGTTACTTCACCGAGACTGTTAAGGGCATTACGTATTGGGCAGGGCCGTTAACTGTGAGTGTCCACATCAGTCAGGTCCACACCAGCAACTCTCCATCTTGAGGAGAAAATAAATACCTAAATAAAATGGGAATGTTTTTAATAGGCAGGCCTAAATACATAAAGGTGATATCTTCAGTATCTTGTTTCCTTTCTGGAACTTAGTCGGAACTCCATTTCCTGCTTCCTTATTCACATGTTTATTTCTTTGGTGCAGTATGTGCGACGGAGTTGCGGGCACGTTCTGTGGGTGGTGTTGAGGTAACCCCTTTTTGAGTCCTACCCTCCAGGAAGCAGTGTGTGCAGGCAGATGCTGCCTCCTGCTTCTAGACGGTCCGCTCTTGTTAGGCAGCAACAAGCTCCAACTACCGCGCTGATTTCTTACATGCCTGCCTCACTGTTCGTGCCCAGAGCTGTTTCAGTTTTCTTACAGTATTTTGTTGGTGCCAAAAAGCAAGCAAGCCTGGTAGTGCATCTGGTAGTTTCAGTGTGACTTGAAGTAAGCTGTTCTAGTGTATGTAATTTTTGGAATTTAAAATCTATTTCCCTACCAAATCATTCTTCAGATCTTAGATTTTTCAGTCCTTGTTTTCGCTTTAGCAAAGTGGCATTTTGCTTGAGTTTGTCTTTATGACAGCTTTTTCCCACAAGGAGAGAGTTGGTTTTACATGAGAATTAAAGTACTCAGGCTTCTGTTGGTACTTGGATTTGTTTAACAAATACCGTAAAAACAGTGTCTAAATGTTAGGCTTCTTCAAGTGTTGCACATCAGAATTGTTTACTTCTGGGGACATTAGTGAGACAGAGAGCCGGGGTCATGCAGGCCTGGGTTGTATTTTAGAAAATAGTAAGCTCTCTGAGCCTCAGTTTACTCATTTGTAAAATGGGATGGTGACTATCTCACAGTCTTCATGAGAATTAAACAAGAATGGGTTGTAGGTGTTATGGATGGTGTCTGGAATGTTACAGGCTTGAATAGATGTCAGAGGTTGTTTTCCTGGCTGTTAGAACTTGGGGAACCCTGTGTCTCCGTTTGTCAGGACAGCTCTCTTTTTTGCCAGTTGTCCCAGCATAATTGTTAATAGCGCCTCCCCTGACCCTCAGAAATACCCTAATTTAGGTAATGACTATGTGGACACCTAGTTAGAACCCGAAGTGTTGTTAAACCCTGGTAAGTCTAGGAAGTGAATCTGAGGCTCTTTGTCATGTTTCCAATCTCTCACCTGGTCGACTTGCTCTCAGACTTAGTCATTGATTACCATTTACAAGTAGAAAGGAGCAGATGGTGGGTGTGCACACAGTACCAGTTTATGCTCTCATAGCTCTATGTTTATAGGAAAGAAGCTTTTCATCTCTGAAGAAGCAAGTAACCAGTTTGACTATTTCTGTATTTCAGGAACCATCTGTAATCCTGGACCACGGAAATCTATGTCTAAGCTGCTTTACATCCGCCTGGCACTCTTCCTGCCAGAGATGGTCTGGGCTTCCCTGGGGGCCATTTGGATATCAGATGGTGTTGAGTGCGACAGGACAGTTGTAAATGGCATCATTGTGACTGTCACTGTCAGGTGAGGTCTTCTGTCTTCTTTTAGTTTCTTAAATGCATTTGAGATGTAAGTAAACAAACCCTTCTGAGTAACTACAGATAGCCCAATGTCATGAAGCCTTCTTAAAATAGTTAGAAATTGAAATTTTTTTGTGTGAATCAAAAAAATTTAAAGACAGCATTTATATATGAGAAGTTAACTCATCTTCCATTATGCACTTAGCAATGTAATTTTCTGCCTTACTGGTTCTCATTTCCCTGCATTCCTTCCCTTCCTTGAAAAGAAGGAAGAAAACCCAAAGACCAAACCAAGGGCAAAAACTAAAGGTGAGATGGAAAGAAATGCAGTGTCAGGAATTCCGGAAGGATCTACCCTAGACTGAGGCTTTTGCATTTTCCAGGCTAAGGATCTAAGGCATCTAGTTACTTCCCCTTGTGGTTTAAACAAGGAAATGGAGGTGCTGCCTTACCTGCTTCTCACCACCAGGGACAGCAGAGCCCCTTCCCAGAGGCTCTTCCCCTGTGCCCCTGCTCAGGAGCCCATGGGCCTTGCATTGTGGACCAAGAGATACTTAAACCCAGGAATGAAAGACCTATTGGAGTGTCCCACAATTCGGCAAAATAATTTTGGTTTTACTGAGAAGAACCCTGAGGCTCTGAGGAGTAAGGGCCAGGGTCGTGGTGAGTGACTATGGAGATCAGGTGCCAACTACTTCCATGCCTAGGTGGCAGCTCTGCCCACCACAGCTTTTCACTTGGTGGTCTCTACTTTTAGGGCTCTTATCTTTGTGGGGCATGGGTTAACCATGGGCTCATCAGGAACCTTCTAGAAGAAACAAATTGCTCACCTCAGCCAGGTCCTTGAAGGTCCGTATCCTGCTTGGTAACTAGAGCCACAGTTGTACAGGTGCAAAACCTGAACCCAAAGGAGGGAGCCTCTGGTGCCTGCGTCAGGATGTAGGACCCACGGTCACCAGGCCTTTTCCTCTCTGTTTGCAGCTGGATTATCATCGCCTCCACTGTGGTCACCATTATCATTGTCTTTGACCCACTGGGGGGGAAAATGGCTCCATATTCCTCTGCTGGTCCCAGTCACCTGGATAGTCATGAGTCGAGCCAGTTCCTTAATGGCCTTAAGACAGCAGCTACAAGTGTGTGGGAAACCCGAATCAAGGTCCTGTGCTGCTGCATCGGGAGAGACGATCATACTCGAGTTGCTTTTTCGAGTACGGCAGAGCTTTTCTCAACCTACTTCTCAGTAAGCCGAAGGGGCCTGCTTTCCTCTCTTTCTCCTCTCAAAATAAATGCTTCTGTTAAGATGAGTACTCTGTGTTTTGAGCCAGTCCACCTGTTCACATGAAATAGCTCTTGAGAATTTGTGGCCTGTGGGTGTGACAGAGTTGGGGAGGTGCTCCCTGAGATGTTACTCAAGGGAGCATTGCCCTGCTTCTGCAGACACTGTCTGGTCTGTGCTTCCAGGTGCTCACACCTGCTCGTTGCACTGTCAGGATTTTTCACTAGTTTCTAAAGAATTGATTGTGGCAAGTGTACATTCCAGGAATGATTTGCCAGTTGTCTTCTTGTATGTCTCCCATCCAGCAGGTACCAGGTGTAGACAGCCTCCTGCACCTGAGGTAGTATCAGATTTCTTACTGCTTTATAGCATGGTGGGAGTGATTGATGATTCTGCTTCTGAAGGAAGTCTGCATATGTTACTGCAATGCAGAAAGGTGTCATCATTCTAGAGCAATTTATTTAGTGATTTGGAAATACTTGTTTTTCTTTCCAGTGTGTGTCCTCTCATATAATGTTCTCTGATGAGTTGTGATTGTGTTCAGCTCTGAGACCGAGTAAGGGGAGGCATTCTCCTGGCATCCTGTACACCTGCTGGTCTCTGTCTCACCTCTCTGTGGTGTCTGACCTGTGCTGTCTGGGGCCAGTCCCACAGCCTGACACCAGGCTGGAGCCACAGCTTCCATGTGGAGGTTACACAGTGTGCCCCTGAATAATTTTAAAGGAGTGCTTCAATCTGGTTTTCAGAGGGTTGGAAGGAGGAGGAAGTGACTCTGGCTGTTCTTTGAGGGTGTCTTAACCTGCATCCTAGGTAGAACTGCTGGCTTAGCAGCCAGGTGTCCAGTACCTGGTCCCTGCTGAGGGGCCAAAGTGCCTAGAGGTGGCCAAGGATTCCTGCCTGCCCCCATCCTTCCTGAAGGAGGAGGGTGAGGCCAGGCTCCAAGACTCACGTGTTTTCCTCATCTGAGGGCCTTTTTGAGGCTTGCTATACCCAGTGAGTCATAGAGCTCAACTGCGGACTCTTGCAGCAAAGCCTTCCTGGCATCTTGAGCAGTGAGACTAAGCGGGCCATTACTACAAAGATGGCAAATTTACCCATTTACTCACCCATTTTACAAAAGATGTGTAGATTAAAGATAGCTAAGCCCACTTAAAGTGAAATTTGAGAATAGAGATAAAAAAATGTTTATGTCCTCTGGTGGATTTGTCTGAGGGCAGGATAGTAGGAGTGTTAAGCTCATGTGCAGAAGGAGTCCTGAGAGGACAGTACTTCTGGGAGCTCCTTCCTCATCTAACTGCATGTGTACACTTAGATACTGAGTTTTCAGGAGCTTGGGCAGGGTTTTATGACGAGCACTGTGGTCTCCCACCCAGGACACAGACCTGGTGCCCAGTGACATCGCGGCAGGCCTCGCCCTTCTCCACCAGCAACAGGACAATGTCGGAAACAACTGGGAGCCTGATGAGGTGATCAGCCACTCCCCGGAGCCCTCCCAGGTGAGCCCATGTTTCTGTTGAGTTGTACAGTTTTGACATGTTTACCTTTTTGTAAGTCAGTAGCAGTTTCAGGAGCCCTTGGCTTGGAGTCTGATCTGTGGCTCCCACGAGTTGTGGTTTGTCACCTGTCAGGTGAGGCATCTCCTCACCACCTGGAGTTGAGGCAGAAGGAGCCTGCTCCTGACCAGTCCACCATCGCTGTTTTTTAAAGCATTCTCTTTAGGAAATAGGCTGTTGGAGTCTACCTATCAAAAATCCCTTCTGGGGGAACCTGGCATGTTCACTTTCTCCTCTGGGCCTGGGGAGCAGGGGCAGTTCAGCTTTGCTTGTTAATAGTCTTCCTGCCACAGATTTTTATAGTTTTGAAAGAAAAAATTGCGCATAGATGTATGTACTTCTCTGCACCTCATTCAAGCACTTAGTTCTTAACTCGTTTGATTGCTGTGGCATGGAAATCTGCTGGCGTCCCTTGCTCATTTCCCCAGGGGTCAGCAGAGTCATTAGGGATGTTTGCAGAAATATGTCCTTGCTACATTTCTGTAAAATGAGGGGTCTGTGTTTAAGGACCAACTTTCCCTGTGGAAGTCCTCTAAGAGGTCTTTTAGGTGAGGAGAGAAAGGGGAGAATTGGGAATTTGTGTGCAGGTTAACGGTCTTAGTGTGCTGACCTCTTCATACCGGTTCCCCTAAACAGAAATTTCTGTCTCTTCTCTTGCAGGAAGCTGGTTTGGATGCAGAACTGGAAAACTGCCACCACTTTATGCAGTTTGCAGCAGCTGCCTATGGGTGGCCTCTCTACATTTATAGAAACCCGCTTACGGGGCTGTGCAAGATTGGTGGTGACTGGTAGGCTGGCCTGGGCTGAGGTCTCCATCTTCCTCTGGGTACCACTACGATAACATCTGTACTTTATTTCCTAAAATAACCATATTTCCCTCCAAAAAAAACCTATTTTGAAATATTTCAAAAACTGCAGGAGCTGCAGTGAGACCTGTCAGATGTCTGGAGTCACCAGCTGTGACTCATTTTCATCGCACGTGCTGTGTCACTGTGTACACAGAGAGTGCCTTGAGCCTTCAGAGGCTCCTTAGCTCTCATTCCTTCAGCTGTACTCCCTAAGAACAAGGGCATTCTTTTATGTAACTGCAGTATAATTACAGAAATCCAGGAAATCAATTATTGATCGTTGGCTGATTTATGACTTGTATTCAGATTTTCCCAGTTGTCCTGGTAGTATCCTTTCTAGCAATTTGTCCTCCCACACAGGATCATGCGTCCCATGTGCTTGTCACATCTCCTTAGTCTCCTGTTTGGAACTGCTCCTTAGTCATTTTCTGTCTCTCATGATACTGAGACTTTGGAAAGGACGATCCAGATGTTTGGTAGAATGGCTGTCCGTTTGCTCTTGTCAGGTGGTCTCTTCATAATTAGGTTCCAGTCACATACTTTTGGCAGGAATGCTCCATGAGGAGCATTGTGTCCATAGTTCATTTTATCAGGAGACACGTGATGCCAGTCTGTCCCATTACTGGTGAGTTTAAGATCTCTCCCTTCTTGGCTGATTTATTTTTTGATTGTATAAAGCATTAACATGACTCAGAGAGCCAAAACTCTAGTAAGAAGTGTGTATAGAAACATACTTAACTTTTAAAGGCCACTGTGTTAGCCAGACTGAGTCCTGAAAGTCATAAACCCTGGCCCTCGCGCTGGCTGGGAGGAGGGACTATGGGGGCTGATACTCCTTGGTAAGTGATTCAAGTCAGTGGTAACACCTTTGCCCCCTTTATAGTTGCAGAAGCAGGACAACAGAATATGATTTGGTCGGTGGTGATCAGCTCGACTGTCACTTCGGCTCCATCCTGCACACGACAGGACTGCACTACAGGGACTTCCTTCACATAAGCTTTCATGACAAGGTGGAGTACAACAGTGGTTCTCAGCTCCTGTGGGGTCCTGGAATCCTTTGACATTCTGATGGAAGTTATAAATTATTGCCTGAAAAAAATGTGCATAGACACACACAGTCACCCCCAAAGTTTGCATATGATTTCAGGGGGTCCCAAGCCCCCTTAGAGCCCACACAGGTTTAATATAAGATGGAGCAAAAGTCTCCATCAGAGATACTGCTCTGTTTTTCACATAAGCCTACCTCGTATTGAAGAATAATGAGTTGCATTCAATACTAATCCTGCAGGGGTTTCTGGATGAAGTACTCCTGTTTCTGGGTCTGAGCTACCCCACGATTGTACAGTGCAGGAGGTCTCGTACTTTGGAGGTGCAGGGACCCTGGGGAGGGTGGCTCTACCTGGCCCCTGCTGTCTGGTTCTGGCGTTGATTGTGGCCCTCCAGGTGGGTCTCGAACACGCTGGAAGCTCAGATCTGCTGGGATAGTTCAGTTCTTGGTTTTGCTGCTGATTGAATCTCCTGGGAAGCTTTTAGACCTACTGAAGCCCAGGCCACACTCTGTGTCGGTTAAGCAGAAACTCTAGCAATGGGACCCCAGCTCAGAAGCCCCCAGGTGATCCTAGTGTGCAGAGGACTTCGGGTCCTCTAGTCCTGCTCTCCAGCCCAGTGGATCCCAAACCTAGAATCACCTGGAGAGTTGACACAGCAATCTGATGCCCAGGTCACATCCCAGTTAAGTCCCAATGTTGGGGATGTGAGCAGGCAGGGTGTTGTCTTCATATCCCTGGGGAGTGTGGTGTGCCTGTGGCCTAGAGCCTTGCACTGCCCTTTCCCTGAGTGGCAGTGGCAGAAAGAACAGAGTTGGAAGAAGGTCATTTTTCAGAGGGTTGGTGACCGTCCTATGAGCTCTTCCAAGGGGCACCACACAGTGTTATCATGATAAAGGTCCTCCCCTCAGGATGCCAGGGAAATGAGCTGGCAGGCTTTTTCTTTCTGGCCCGCTACAAATCTGTAACAGTTCACCACGAACAGCAGCCAGCACCGTATTGCTTCTGTGACACCACCTTATGCAGGCCAGGCGTGGCCTCGATGCACACACCAGCCAGAAGGGGTGGGTCCATTGTGTCCTTTAAGAGGAGGAAACAGACAAAGAGAACTGGAGACCACATGGCAGTAAGGGGGCTGAGCGGGGTCTAATGACACCAGAACCTCTCTGCTTTATCAGGACTCCAGTTCTGAGGCAGAAGCCTGGAATTACTCCTTGACCTGTGGCTGCTTCTAGATGAAAGTGGGGGCTGTCAGGGCCCCAGGTGCTTCCCCCGCCTGCACTTAGAGTTGGGACCTGGCCCTGCCACCGAGGGCGGCAGGGTGGTGGCCGGAGGAGTCTCAGGGAACAGCACCTGGGGTCTTCACCCAGAGCTGCCACAGAACTGGGCATATCCATTGGCTCCCCAGTGATCAGGCTGGGCCTGTGCTGTGCAGCAGAGCAGTAGGCGTGACGGGCTCAGAGAGGCTGTAAAGGAAAACGGGCCCTGGTCCCTATGAATGACACCTACCATTCACAGCACCCAGGTCATCACCCCGAGTTTGGCCGCGAGGAGTGGAAGAGAGGTCAGGTGCTCTTTCCGCGGCCATGGTCGTGAGCTGCAGTAGTCAGAGACTTTCACTGGCTGACCTCTGCCCTTCCTTAGGCCTCACTCCTGCCCCTCTCACCCTCAGGTCTATGAGCTCCCCTTCCTGGTGGCCCTGGATCACAGGAAGGAATCCGTGGTGGTGGCTGTGAGAGGAACCATGTCTCTCCATGTAAGAAGCCTGGCTGGTCATGCCTGGAGTGAGGGGTCTGAGCTGGGGGCCTGCGGTGGAGAGCCCAGCGCTGGCAATGAGGAAGCAAATCAGGGTTGTGAAATTCTTTTGAAAAAACAGATGAGGCCATTTCCTTTCAACAGAAATGTCAGAAACATGGGCTCCCGCAGGCCTGGGCTCCCCCTCCAGGAGCTCCTAGAGGGGTCCCAGCTGATTCCCCTGATGTGCCTGGCCAGGCCCCAACCAGGTGACCCTCCCCTCCAGTTTTCTGCACCCAAAGCCAGAGAGAGCGAGCCACGTGACACTATCAGCAGTCACTCCACTGTTGTTGGTCCTGTTCCGACACAGCGGCCCAGGCGGCCTCCCATGGGGCTTCCTCTGCCTGTTCCTGAGTGGCCACTCTTCTCCAGATGCCCCCAAGAACTGCTACTTAGCTGTCCCAACCCAGGGGTGCCTCTCCTGTGCTTACTCCCTCTGTCTCTGTCCCTGGAGACCTGGGCAGCTTGCCCTCTCTGTCTGTGTTGGACTTTTAGACCCCTCTTGGCCGTTCCTCAGTCTCAGGTCCTGGTTCTTCTCTGCTGACCCAGAAAATGTCATGAAACCCCAGAGCTCACCCTTGACCTGTTCTGCTCTTTCTGACTGGTTCTGTGGGGCAGAGCTAGCAGCTCTGCTGTGGGTCAGGACCCACACCTGCACCTTCTAGGCCCTCTGGGCCCATTTCTAGTTATGCAGTGTCCCCATGGTGCCCACTGGTGGAAGTGTGAGGTCGTTCCTGGCTTTTCTCCTCACATACTGCCTGGCCTGATGCATGGGGGCCCTAACCCCTCTGGCCATCTCCTTCTTGGGCCAGTGAGAGAGTTTCCTACCTCCGTCCCTGTCTGCAGTCTCTTACCTTCTCAGCCTGGCCTGCTGTCCACAGCCCTCTTTCTGGAATGTGGGTCAGGTCTCTCTACTCCTTCCCAGAGGTGTCCTTCTGCTCTTCATACAGAATTCATGTATCCTGCCACAGCTCCGTTGGCACCCTGGCCCCACAGCCCACCCTTCCCTGCCCTCACTGTGCTAGTGGTTCCCACCCCGGCAGTGCATCAGCCACCTTGCAGCTCCACAGAGAGCATCCCTATGGAGCCCCTCCCACAGCAGGTTCTGCAGACACATTGCCTCTGGGGCTCAGCCCGTGACCCCTCAGTGCACTGAGTTGAGTGCCTGTGCACGAGCTTGTGCCTGCTTCCTGCACCCAAGTGCCCTGCCTGGGACCTCCTGCTCCCTCGGTGAGGACGCCTGCCTTTCTCCTCTGCTTCCTGAAATCAAGCTTTTCCTCCAGGCTCTGGCTTAGGTGTACCTCCTCCAGGAAGCCTCCCCTGCCCTGCATTGCTCACCCCCTCACCTCCCTTAGGTTCCAGTGAGCTACTGACAGCACAGGCAGGACCCATGCTTTGTTCAAAACCCTTGCGCAACCACTTTGCAGGCACTTAGAAGATGTGTGTGGTGGAGGAATGCAGGGGGCGTGTCTTAGGTATGTCCTGGTCCCCTCCCCACGTTCAAGCCTGACCAGAGCTGGCTGTGCCAAGGGTCCCTTGGGAGACCGTGTGTCCTTGCTGCCCCTCAGCCAGCATCCAGCCTATCCCAACTGACGGCCTCTTCTCCCTATGCCATTTCCAGGACATCCTTACGGACCTGTCAGCAGAGAGCGAGACCCTCAGCTTAGAGTGTGAGGTGCAGGACTGTTCGGCACACAAGGTAGACGCCCCGGGGTTGTGGCTTGGAACGTTCCATCAAGATGAGAGGGGTCAGAGTTTTTCCAACTCCAAATTTCTTCCATTAATGCATAACTGTAGGACAAATAGCTGCTGCAGCCGGGTGCTGTGCAACATAAGCGCTTCTTATTCTCACAGCACAACTTCTCATGACAACCCTGTGAGGTGGTTTTATTTTTTAAGGGAAAGCAGCAGGTTTGGAACAATCACAGGTGACTTGCCAGAGCCACACCTTTAGTGGAGTGTCAGTGGCATCTGAAACCTGTCAAGCACTCTTCTTCCCCTTAAGTAGCAATCCGTGGAAAAGAAAAGGTTTAGTGCAACCCGGAGCAGAGTCCGATGCAGACTAGCCGCGCCCCGCCCTGACCCAGCCAGCGATGCAGGCCTTTGGCACTTCCTGCGTGTCCCTCCAGACTTCCTCTGGATGCGGTGGTGCTGGTTCCTGTTCCACTCTTACTGTGCTGGGGCCGAGGGCTGGTGCATGAGGAACAGAAAATGGCTTGCCCAGAGCAGAGGTGGTGTGTTCTAGTCTTTTTTTAGTAGTTTTAAACACACAGACCATAATTATCATTTAACCATTTGTAAGTTGGTGGTTTTAAATACATTTAGAATGCTGTGTACCCATCACCACTGTCTATACCCAAAACTTCATTATCCCAGACACAGACTCTGTCCCTCTTAATAACTCCCTGGCCCCTGGTGACCACCATCCTATTGTTTCTGTGAAGTTGCTTATTCTATGGACCTCACAGAAGTGGAATTACACAGTGTCTGTCCTTAGTGGCTTGTTTCACTCAGCATGACGTCTTCAGGATTCATGATGTTGTAGCAGGTGACATGTCCTTTTTATAGCAAGTGGTGTTCCACTGCCTGAGTAACCACCTTTGGTTTATACATCCATCCATTGATGGACATGTGGGTCACGTCATTTTGGCCATTGTGATTCATGCTACTGTGAATGCAGACAACTGTCTGAGTTCTGCTTTTGAATCTTTCGGGGCTGATACCCACAGGTGGGATTGCTGAGTCTGATGGTTACCTTCTGTTTTCCTTTTTGAGGAGCCACCACTGCTGTTTTCCAGCACAGCTGAGCCATTTTCTTCATTTTCACCTTCCACCCACACCATGAGGTCTCCCATTTCTCTACACCATCAACACTTTGTGTTTTTTAATTACAGCCACCCTAGTGAGTGTGAAGTAGGATCTCCCCATGGTTTTGATTTGCATCTCCTGATGACTAATGAGGTTGCAGAGCAACATTTGAACTTGTGAGGGAAAGCGAGTGACTCCCTCCCTCCCCAGGGTCCCAGCAGCTGCTCTGGGGAGATGCATCCGGTGGAGGGCAGTGGGCTTGCTGTTGTTACACACTGGGTGTTTTCTTTTTAACCAGTAATCATTTTTAATTAAAATATTTCTTACCGCCAGTGTAGCTGCCGGTGATGGTAGAACCATAGTGTCCTGCCTGGACAGTTCTCAGGAAGGAGCTGAAGGGAGGATTTTGATCGGCCTCCTGTCAGCAGCCTGACAGGCCCAAGAATGGGAATGTTTCTCCTTTGACCCTTAGCTGTCTTTTTGCACCTCAATTCACAGAAGAGTCCAGTCTATTATTGGGCATGTGTGAAGAAAAAAATTTTTAATAGTATAGAGACACATCAACTGGCCAACCACAAAGTACCTTGAGGCTGGCAGGCCTGGTTGTGGTGCTCCAGAGATTTGCCACAGGTAACGGTTCTGAGTGGCCTTAGGCTGGGACACCTCAGGCTGGGAAGACAGCTGCTCGAGGCATCAAGGCGTGAACTGGTTTCTGCTCTTGGCTTCGGCTGTGCCTGGTTTCTGCTCTGACACTGTCCACAGTAACTGGGATTCAAAGCCCTGTGGCTGAAAATGGTTTTGCCATGTAACCCATGCCAGGGAGGCTCACAACCAGCACTGGTTGTAGTCATAGTCCAAGTTCTGTTTGGCTCTGCCCATATGGGGCACGTTGTAGGTGCTTAATAAATGCTGAAGGAAGTTAACTGCACTGCAGAGTTGCAGAGCAGTAAAGGGAATCTGGTGGTCTGTCAGGAAGTGCTCAGATAACACACACAGTGTTCAACCCCTGAAGCCACCTTTCAGCAACTCTTACATGAGGCCAGGCTCAGCATTCTACTCACAGAACGATGGCTCTGTGGAACAGGAACTTGCAGTAGCTTTAGACGTGATCAGAACAGCCTCCCGTCTTACACAGTTCCTCCTCTCGCCAGAAAAGTTGCTCAAGGACAGGGCCAGGCCTGCCTTACATGGTCATTGGAGGAAGCACTCCAGAAACGATTTGATCAGCAGGGGTGTTTCTCCTCTGCTGGAACTGCTTAATTTTCAAGAAGCCTGTTTCACAGGACAGCTGTATTTGTTAGGAAATTTTACATTTTATTTATTTTTTGAAATTAAACCAAAATGTGACCTTCCTAGAACTCACTTCTGATGGTTGTAGTTTTGCCTTGGCAGGAACAGTGAATGTTAGTATCACTGATTCAGGACTTTATGTTTCAGCATCATTTTTAAAGATCAGTCATTTATAATCTAAACCAGACCCAACTAAGGGGTTTGGCTGAAGTAAATTTTGGTATGTCCATGCAGCAAAATACTGTGTAGTTACAGAAAAAGCCATAGAAATATCTGTTGACGTGAAAACATGTTCCTCATGTCACCCATTCATTTGTGGAAGTAGTAACTGCACACCTTGGTGCTGAGCTCTCCACAGGTGCCAGGAGTACACAGTGCGCAGCAGATGAGGCCACTGGTCCGAGGGGCTTGTCTCCTATTGGGACGGAGTCACAAATAAGTGTACACAGTGTAATCCTGTCATCTGTTGTGATAAAATGTATGATCAATAGCCCCTTCCTTTGCATTTTTAGGGGATTTCTCAAGCCGCCAGATACATTTACCAACGACTCATCAACGATGGGATTTTGAGCCAAGCATTCAGCATTGCTCCTGTGAGATTTTAGTTTTTATTTTCTTTAATTTTCTCTGTCATCAGCTGTTTGGGTGTTTTAACCTTTACTCCTTCTGCATTTGTCTCCTAGGAATACCGGCTTGTCATTGTGGGGCACAGCCTGGGGGCAGGCGCTGCAGCCCTGCTGGCTATCATGCTCAGAAACTCTTACCCACAAGTCAGGTGTTACGCCTTCTCCCCACCCAGGGGGCTGCTGAGGTATGCCTATTTTCACATGGGTAACAGTGTGCTATGTATAAGTCATATGGTCGAGACTGGCCTTTTATTTGTAATTATAATTTCTCATCCTCAGGAGAAGTTTGTCTCAAAGCACTATTTGGTTTTTCATAGGTCTGGCTATATATAGCTTTGATTTCCTATGAGATAATGCTGATTCATTTTTTTAAAGTGAGGTATAATTGGCATAGATCATTAGTTTCAGGTGTACAAGATTCAGTATTTGTGTATACTGCAATCACCACAGTAAGTCTAGTCACCATAGTTATGAGAATTTGTAATGAGAACTTTTAAAATTTACTCTTACATGGTATTAACCAAAATCACCACACTGTTCATTACATCCCCATGACTTATTTTATAATTGGAAGTTTTTACCTTTTGACCCATTTCACCAACCCCAAACCTCCACCTCTGACAATCACCAGTCTGTTCAGTGTATCTGTGAAGTTGGTTTTTGGTTTTTGTTATTTTTTAGATTCCACATGAGATCATACCATATTTGCCTTTCTGTCCAACTCATTTCACTTAACATGATGCCTTCAAGGTCCATCCATGTTGTCACAAAAGATGTATATATCTGCACATTTTCTTTATCCATTTGTCTGCTGGTGGACACAGATCATTTCCATGTCTCAGCTCATGTAGTTAATGCTGCAGGCAACATGGGAGTGCAGTTATCTTTTCACGTTAGTGTTTTCCTCAAAAAAAATACCTATTAAATGGAATTGCTAGATCATGTGGTATTTCCATTTTTAATTTTTTGAGAAACTTCCATACCGTTTTCCAGTGGCTGCATCAGTTTACATTCTCACCAGTAGTGCAAAAGGGTGCCCATTCTCCATAGCCTCACCAACACGTTTTCTTTCTGCTAATAGCCATTCTAACAGGTGTGAGGTGGTTTGTCATTGTGGTTTGGGTTTGCATTTCCAATGATTAGCAATGTGGAGCGTCCTTTCATGTCTGTTGACATTTGTATGTCTTCTTTGAGAAAATATTAAAGTCCTCTGCCATTTTTTAACTGGATTTTTTTGTGCTATTGAATTGTGTATATTTTTTATATATTTTAGATATTAACCCCTTTATCAGATATAAGATTTGCAAATATTTTCTTCCATTCAGTAGATGGCCTTCTCATTTTGTTGGTTTCTTTTGTTGTGCTGAAGCTTTTTAGTTGAATTTGTCCCATTTATTAATTTTCACATTTGTTGCCTTTACTTTTGGTGTTAAATCCAAAAAATCATCACCAAGACCAGTGTCTTAATCCCTTTTTCTTCTAGTTTTATGGTTTCAGGTCTTAAATTTAAGTCTTTCATCTATTTTGGTTTTGTGTGTGATGAGTGGTTCAGTTTCATTCCTTTGAATGTAGCTGTCCAATTTTCCCAACACCACTTATTAAAGAGACCATCTTTTCTCCATTGTATATTCTCGCCTCCTTTGTCATAGATTAATTGCCCATATAGGCAGGGGTTCATTTCTGGGCTATTCTGTTCCACTGGTCTGTGGGTCATTTTTTGTGTCAGTACCATACTGTTTAATATTAAACTACAGCTTTGTAGTGTAGTTTGACATGAGGGAGATGCCTCCAGCTTTGTTCTTTCTCCAGACTGACTTGGCTATTTGAGGTCTTTTGTGGTTCCATGCAAATTTTAGGATTGCTCTATTTCTGTGAGAAATGCTTTAAGAATGTTGGCAGGGATTGCACTCATCTGCTGACTGGTTGGGGTAGTATGGCCATTTTAACTATTAATTCTTGTAATCCATAAGCATGGAATATTGGTCTCCTTTTTAATATATCTTACTTAAATTTGTTAGATTCCTTAATCTACAAAATCCTAGTCATTGTCATTCACATATTCCCTATGCTCTCTCTCATTTTTGGGGGCTCCAATTAGACGTGTATTAAACCTGCTTTCTCTGACCTCCTTTGTATCTTGTGGGTTTCTGTGTGCTACGTTCTGGGTGTTTTCTTCACAGCTGTTTTCTAGTTCGTTGATTCTCCTTCAGCTGCTTATTATGGTCTGTTAAAACTATTGTTTTATTATGGAATTTCCATACCAAATAAAAAATTCAAAAATAGTATAGTATAATGAACCCCCATTTAATCAGCTTCAATAACTTATTAACATGACTGATTTCATTTCATAGGCCCACCCTACTTCCCACAGAGCCCCATAACTGGATTAGTCTGAAGTAAATCTGAGACGTACCATTTCATCTGTAAACACCCTAATATATTTCTCAAAGGCACTCAATTAGTAATTCCTTGATTACATTCTCCCTCCCAATTATCTCATAAATGTTTTACAGATGATTAAATTCCAAGCAAGTTTCTCACATTGAATATGATTGTCTTGTAACTCTTTTAATATATAGATTTTCTCTTCCCTTCTTTATTTTTGATACCAGCTAATTTGTTCTGGAGAATCCATATTTTGAATTTCCCCTATTGTATACAAGTGTCATTCAACATGTTCCTCTGTTCCACTGGCTCTTTGTATGTCCTATAAAATGGTAATTATATCTAGAGAGTTGATCAGATTCCGGGTAGATTTGTTACAGTAACATAGTGGTAATGGTATAAATTTCCTGTTGGATCACATTGGGAGGCACACATCTGCTTGTTTCTCCCTGTGATGTGAGCAGCTAGTGATCAATATATAGATATTAGAGGTTGTAAGAATGTTGACATTTTATTTCTGCCATTCCTCCTACATTTACTAGCCAAAAATTATCCAAGAATTTTGTGAGTACTTGGTTGCTCTGAGGTGTAGTTCACACAAGAAAAGCAGGAAAGATGCATAAATGCTTGAATCTTTCCCTTTATCTAGCAGCGCTCAGAGTAACCAGTTTGTGGTCTGGTAGTCTCTAGAGGTGTTCGTTCTTTTGATCTGTATTTCAGCGCACTGCAGTTGTGATTTGGGTGTCCACACTGCCCGCACCTTGGCCAGCAGAGTCCCTTCAAACTAGGGCTCTCGTCCTTTTCATCCTGACACATACTCTGTTGGCTAAGTTTGCTGCTCTCTGGCACCATACAGTATTCTCACACTTTTTGCCCTGGTCCATATCTGGAATCAACCTTTCCTCCTGGGAGTATTGGTTTCTTTGAGTGGGAAATGATATTGAGACTGTGAGCTGGGTTCCTAGGGTGCTCACTACCACAGGGTTATATTCCTGCTAGGGGGGTGCTGCTGTTTTTAATAACTTGGAGTAATTCTTCTGTTTGGTTAATACATTATTAGATTCATTTGTTGTATTTGGCTTTTTGGTTTTAGGGATTGCTTGTTACTTTAATTATTTTATAGTTATATAAAAATGACACCATTCCAAAGACAACTAAAAGCGAGGTACAAGCAGAGAAATCATTCTATCCTTGTTTCCTCAACAGTGTCCTTTCTCACCCCAGTGGTAGCCATTTTTTTTTTCGTTATTCTCATACATAGGTAAGTACGTAAAAGCGGGTTGTATGTGTTCATTCCTCCCCTCCTTAGATGAAAGGCAGCACACTGGACATGCTGCTCTGCTTCTTGTGTTTATCAGAATAGCGTATCCTGAGGTGTCACCCACAAGGTCACAGATAACCTCAGTCCCTTAAAGCTGCAGAGGTCTCGGCTCTGCCGTAGTTGGTGAAGGTGAACACAGCTTCTGCTCTCACACATAGGAGGAGCCGCCAGTGCGTTCTGGTTAGGTTCCAGGGTGGAGGGGAGCCAGCTGCTGGGTCAGAGGATGCAGAGATGTGCTCCACCTGCTGTCTCACTCTGGTTTGAAGTTTTAGCTGTTGATCATCTCTTTTGGTCTGTGGTCTAGCTTTCCTAGCATCTACCCAGTGAGCTGCTCTAACTATACTTTGTTTTCTCTTCCCCTTTAGAATATAGAAAACAGAGTTGAAGTCTATGAAAACTGACCTCTTCACTGACCTTGAGCCCTTCCGTGGGCAATAGCCATAAAACTTTACACTAGTTTTTCTTCAATTTCAGCAAATCCCTTCACGAATACTCTAAGAACTTCATTGTGTCACTCGTCCTGGGCAAGGATGTGATTCCCAGGTGAGTCTGCTGGATGTCTCATCTGGGGTCACGGTAGCTGAAAAGACTGAGCCACAACCTCATCTTTTGCTAAAAACAGGTTAAGTGTGACCAACCTAGAAGATTTAAAGAGGAGAATCCTGCGAGTGATTGCTCACTGTAACAAGCCCAAGGTAGGCGGGGCTCCTGGGTAAGAGAGGCACAGGGGTTTGGGCCTCCCCACCAGGCTGCGTGTGGCACTGCACCCCTTAGCCCAGCACACTTGATCACGTTGCTCCGAGTTCTTCCCGCCATCCTCTATACAGACCTTTGTCTTGTGTCCTAGAGATGACACCCAAGGAAGCAAATGACTAAATCAAGCCCATGAAATGCCACCACTAGAAAGTGTGTTAACAGAACCATCTGCGTTCTGGCCAAGTGACTGCTTCCTGTCAGAGTTCTCAGCTCTGTGTTGGGACCAACAGTATTCTGATGTCTCTGTTCCCAAAGCTTAGAAATAAGGCTACCAGATAAAGAGTTTTAGAGGTACTGGTGTATCTACCCTATGGAACATTACACAGTCACTTAAGTTTGTTTTTTTAAAGCTTAAAAATTCTTAGAAATAAAATCCAAGAAGGGGAAGGTGCCAAGATACATATATATAAATGTTGACCAAAAACATACAAAATGTTTTTAATTTAGATAACAGTAGAGATAATCTTTCATTTTTAACCTTGGTTTTGTTTTTGTTGCTCATCAGAAAAAAAACTAAAAATTTAAAATAAACTTTCTCCTTATTGACCAAAACCCCCACCCCTCAATTTTTTAAAAAACTCATGTCTTTTAAGGGAAGAGTAAAACTGATTGGCAGAACTGTCTAAAAAGAATTAAGGGTCAATTTTCCTTTAAAATCTACATGATTTCATTTTAAAATACTGCTTCAGCTGTGACAGCTTCTTTAGCCCAAGTGACACATCTACTGGGCCACTGACCTCACTCCCAAAGGCCCATGATTTAAAAAACAAAACAGCCAGGCATTTTTCTGAGCAGCAGCTCTGGGCGAGGCGGCCTCTGTGGTGAAAGCCTCACCACGAAGCCATCATGACACCTTCCTGGGTCACCCTCAGTACAAGATCTTGCTGCACGGGTGCTGGTATGAGCTGTTCGGAGGGAACCCTGACAACTTTCCAACTGAACTGGAAGGGGGCAACCAGGGAGACCTGACACAGCCCCTCCTTGCGGAGCAGAGCCTGCTGGCGCACGGGTCCCTGGCCTACAGCTTCTCCAGCGACTCCCCGCTGGAGTCCCCTACCAAGTACCCCCCGCTCTACCCTCCAGGCAGGATCATCCACCTGCAAGAGGAGGGCCCTTCAGGGAGGTGAGTGTGGCTGGGTGGGGGGTGGGGAGCTGACGCAGCTCGGTCCTCTCTCCACCTGTGGAGGGACATGCAGAGGCTCCGCTCACAGCCAAGCTTTGCTGTCTCCCTTGTACAGGTTTTGCCACTGCTCTGCTACTCAGTACAGTGCCAAGTGGTCACATGAGTCAGAGTTCAGCAAAATACTCATTGGCCCCAAGATGCTAACGGACCACATGCCTGACATCCTGATGAGAGCCTTGGACAGTGTGGTGTCTGACAGGGCTGCGTGCACCTCCTGTCCAGCTCGAGGCTCTGCTATGGATGCGGTGTGACCAGGGCTACTGGATGCCACTCCAGGACAATGGACTTGCACTGCTGCTCTTCAGCTGAGTGTCTGCGCCTCCCAGATGCCTGAACCTTGGGTGACACTCTCAGCACGAGCAGTATCAGGAGAGCACGGGGTGCTGGGGCAGAATGGGCACGTGGGAAGCTTCAGGAAGCCCCTTCTTGTTGGCCTGCTGCTTCCACCCCAGGAGAGGGTGGGAACCCAAAGGGCCAGGTTTAAGGCCCTAGTGGATCTGTAGACTCCCACCCTTCAGGACACCTTTTCAGGGACAGCGTCTTCTCTTTACCACTGTTTTAAAGTCTGAACTTGGCAGACTGGTGTGTGTACTTTGCAACTGGATTCTCCTGGTAACATGATCACACTACTGTTGTGAGGGCATAGACTGGGCTTTTCTCCCTGGTGGCGTATGGGACAGCCCTGAGCTCTGATTAGGAATCAAGACAAAAGCAGGGTGGGGAATGAGTGGAGACTCTGCTCCTGGTCACCTCCAGCCCCAGCACTCCGCTCCTTGTTTCCATGGCCCAGCTGTCTCATCACCAGCAGCCAGTTAATGAATGCTCATGGAAATTCTGGCTCATGGCAGTCAGCCAGTAGATTCAAAGAAAGTAAAACAGACACCTCATTAGTATCTATGCAGTGACATGCTTTTCTACTGGATGTTTCCAGGAAGGTCTATTTTACTGGGTGATTTAGAGTGATCATGTTTTAAACTTTTTTCCTGTCTCCTGCAAACAACAAAATAAAGTCTTTCATTTTCTTAGAGCTTTGGCTAAAGACTGAGAATTGCACAGGTATCTGATTTCACACCACCACCACCACAAGCCATAAAATGACAGTAAAGGGATTTCTGTAAAAAGCATAAACCCACCAGGATGGGTGTTAAAGGACAGACTAGCACAGTCAGATGGCTGGAAGTAAAGGAACCTTCCCTAAGCACAGTGGGGAATAACCCTGTCCACACACAGATTTCCTGTGCAGATACAAGAGTGATGCCAGTGACAGGCCCAGCCCGGTGAGGCAGGTTACCTGCAAGCTGGAAGCCACCGGGCTCTCCCTTCAGGGGGTGCTAGACAGCAGCCCAGCTGAGGGCCTGGGAACTGCATTCCTAAATTCCCACTCAGCCTGGGGCCTTCCCGGAGATTCCCCAGGGAAATCTCACCACTTGACACTGCCCTCAGGGCCTCCCAGGCAGCTGTGGCAGCCACCCACCTTAGTTTGAAAACCTTGAAAGGACCATTTTTAAAATTTGAACTGAAATACCATAGTGATCTCCAATTGCTTCAAGTTCCATTTCCAAACTGCTGTACATTCCTAGCAGCAGGAAGGTAAGCAAGCTCACTTTGAACAATACCTTGGCTGACCCACCTTTGTGCCTTCAACATTCAGCATGAGCCATGAATCACCAGACACCAGAGGAACAAGGACCAAAGGAAGCAGGAGATTGAAACAAGCCCAGCTGCAGTGTGGGTAAATGCTCCAACCACACCAGAGCTGGGAAGCTGAGCAGCAGTGTTCATAGGGAATAAAAGGCACAGCTGACTAGAGCATGAGAGGAAAAAGAGCAGCTGGAAACAGAAAAAAAGTGAGCTTTCAGCTGGGAAGAGCCCACCAAGCACACAGCATGAGAGATGAAGATAAACCCAGGGCACAGACGTCAGGAAAATTCCGGTAAGACTTGGAAATAAAAGCACATCCCATCCCACACAGCAGAAATGACCCAGAAAACACCGTGGGAGACCTGCCTTTGACAATCTCAGGAAGCCGTTTCCAGCCTGCAATTTCAAACCAAGCTAAGAGATATCCATGTAGAATGAAGTTACTTTCAAAGATGTAATGGCTCAGGAGCACATTTCCCAGACACCCCTCAGGAAGCTATCGGAGAATGTGTTCAAGATTGGGAAGTAAATTAAGAGTCAGGATGTAAGAAGTCAAAGATCAACACACAAGAGAAATGGTAAGAGGATTCTGAGACCTCAGGAAAATGAAAATTGAAGAAAATAATACATCCAAACATCTTGAAAGATTAAGACAACAGATGCAAGTTCACAGAAAAGGAAGCAAATATGGTATTATCCCAAAAGAAACCCAAAGTTATGCAGCAAAGTCAAACTTGTGAAGCATGACTTAGCAGTGAGCATCTACATAATAACGCAAACATGGGGGCCGGGGTAGAGAGCTCCTGTGTGGAAAGGCTGAACGTGAAAAATCCAGCTAGCAATAAAAGCAGGCGATTTAGCCTGATCTCTTGGGGGGTGGGGTAGAGGTTGAAATCAGTGACCCATGATTTAATCAAGCATTCCTGCATAACAAAGCCCCTGTAAGTACCCCAAAGGATTTGGGTTTGGGGGCTTTGGAGAGCTTCCAGGTTGATGACCACGTGGCAATCTGGGAGAGGCACACAGTGGGGGAGGCAGGAGTGGGGGCAGGGTGGCACGGAGCTCCACACTCTTCCCCATACAGCACCCTACGCGTCTCTCATCTGCCTGTTCCTGAGTTACATCCTTTTATAATAAACCAGTGATCTATTAAGAAAAAACATGATTTAGGTATGTGGAGACAAGTATCAAAAATTAATTAAAAGAACAGTAGTTGCCCCTGGGGAGGGTATGAGGGGGAAGACTGTTTTTACAGAATTTTAGAACCATTTGATCATCAAAACCATGTATTTTATCTTTTAATCCATCTTCAAAGCACTTAAGAGAAATACTTAGAAAACTAATTCTTACACAAACTGTTTATAGTACAATTTCAGGCTCCAGAAAGGATTCTAAAGTCATACAGTCAGCCTCTGCCCTCCCAAGCCTGCATGCATCTACAGCCCAGATCTCTGGCCCAATATGCATGTGCGTGCACATGCACACATGCCCCAGTGGGGACCATCACCAAGGATCACAGACCCAAAACCAATCCTCACCCCAGCCCACACCAATGGCTAATGCCTCCAGCTTCTCCCCCTGGAGGGGCTACTCCCTGACCCCCAGCACAAAAATGTAGGTTGAAAATGAATGTCTCCAACCACCCAGGGATTTAAAGGGAGGCAAATGAACACATACATCAGGAGACTATTCACCAAGCTCTGAAGAATTCAATTACCAGTCGTGATTCAAGGATTTATTAAGTCGTACATGCAAAACATACTGCTAATTGCATTAGCAAAAGATCAGTGTAAAAACACACCACAAGTCTGCAACTGTCAATTTAAAAAACTGTGTTCTAGTGGTTGAAAGGTCCAATCTTGTGTTCTTGCCAGTGGGTGAGCTGTACAGAACTTGATTAGCACAAGCACGGGGTGTACAGAACCTCACAGACCCAAAGGAACACGGTCAGGCAGAGCGATGACAGGAAGCGTGTCCACGTGGGTGAGGCAGTGAGGGCCAGGATTAGTCAAGGTGCAGTGTGATCTGGCAAGACAGTGACGTTAAGGTTCATAGTTTAAGAATATCTAAAATACTTTAAAAACCGTAAAGCTGCAACACATGATTTTTACACCTAATTACTAGAAAACTAAGGAAAGCACTTAGAAGCTTTGAATAAAGCAACGTGAAAACAGGAGTGCACTTTTACTAATCTACAAAAAAATGCTAATGCATTATCAGGAAGATTTTATAATACAAGGAGGCATATTGCTCATTAAGAAGGGGTTCTATTAGAAAAGCACTAAGCAACTATGGGAATGACTGTTCTGAAGATGAATTAAATGCCCAATTTTGGAGGGATAGCAGTTTTAAGAAAAAGAAAAAGCTTAGGAAAACACTCACTGATAATACCAACCTCTCTTCTTCACCTACTGTATTTGACAGAAATCAACCTTTTAAAATCTTTACCCGTGACATTTTTATGTGTACAATGTAGTGTAAATTAATCTCTTCATGTTTTGTCAAAATACTGTCTTCACCCTTTGACCACATTAGGTGTTCCAAACACTGCACCCAAGTGTGCCCAGTGCTAGAGCAGAAGGCTTCACCAGAGGGAACACATGAGCCAGAGTTCTGTTCGGAATCTCAGCAAAAGTTAATACACTAAGTTTTTTAAAAATCTTACTACAAAATCAAGAAAGATTGATCCAAAGAGCTGAGTTGTTACACTCCTTCCACTATGAATACAGTACACTGTTCGGGTTGATAAATAACGATGCATTAAATGGCAACATCTCATAGAGGAGGCTGTTCTGCATTTCATACCTGAAGCATCTCCTAACCTGAGAAGCTGCACTCTTCTTAAAGACACAGGTTAGTGCTTAGTGTTCTGAGCACACAATGCAACTTAGTTCACAAGTATTTTGGCAACTCTTAATCTGAGCAAGAACAGGGGCCTTTGAAAAATAAGGCTTTAAGAAAGCTTGTTGTTTTAGGGCTATATTTTAATAGAATGTGAAAGTTTGAACTCTTACACTTAAACAAAACCTAAAAATTACTTATTGGTTCAAAATGGTTTTATGGAAAAACTAATCTGTAACAAAAACTTGGCATCGAGTGCGAAGGTGCCACCATTTCTGAGCAAAGCATCCAAGGTTCCAAGGGGGACAGGGCAGGAGGTGCCCAATTACAGCAGCAGACATTTTCTCTTCCTCTTCTTGACTGGAGGTGGGCAGAGAACCGCTCGAATAGCTTCATCAAACACTGTCTTGAGGCCTCGCTGTGTGAGAGCTGAGCACTCCAGGTATTTAACAGCACCTGCAGAGAAACACAGCCTCCTGCAAACCAGCAGCAATGTCCACACAAACCGACTCCTCCAGTTTGAACAAGGGCCCAGCACCAGACAGCTCGCACACAGAGCAACCACCCCACCTCCGCCTTCCTGACACAACGCTGGGGGAGCCTTGCTGAAGAGCAAGCCAGACCCCAGGTGGGAGGCACACACTCTCTACCTTCCCAGACTGGACTCCAGTCTCTGTCACAAAAAAGCAAAGTGCAAAGCAAACATGAAAACGGCAGGACTCCATACCAATCTCTTTAGCCATGGCCAAGCCCTGTGGGTAGGTAATGGGGGTCAGCTTCTTCTCCTTCAGTTTCTCGATCGTGTCTTTATCATCCCTAAGGTCAAGTTTGGTCCCCACCAGGATGATGGGAGTGTTGGGACAATGATGTCGCACTTCCGGGTACCACTGGATGGGGAAATAAGAACGAGGTCATGACACTGTCCTTTGCGAGCTTCCTTGCCTGAATTACCCCTGCACAGGTGCCAGGCTCTGCCAGTCACCCACGGCCATCAGCCCATCCCCAGAGCCTCATGCAGGAGAGGGTATCCTGCTCTCCAGGCCCTGCTCACACCTTCCAGAACCACAGGACCACCTATGGCACTGGACTCAAGCCAAAACTTCTAAGATCAACAACCCCACAAGCAGAAGAGGGGACGACAGGAGAAGGTCCCCCACAAAATACCACTTTGTTTTTGGCAAAACAAGTTCTTAGGTCACCTCAGAAAACCCTTCCTATATTCCAGGATGAGAATGAACAAACTCTGGACCAAGGTCTCAGCTCTGCCATCACCCCCAGTGACCACATCTCTGATCACCACAGCTGAAGGGCATCCTGCATGTGTCACTATCACTGAGAAGTTCGCAAAAGATACAGCAACAGGAAGTAATGGTTATTTTTTTTAGACTGACTCCAAAGCACTTCATTATTTTAACAAGAAAAATAGCACTTGTGACTCAGACCCTGAAACTTTAGAACCCTAGAACCCTACCTACAGCCATATATTTAAAAACCTGATTATGTACCTGAAGCAGAATCACTAAAGTCAATTCGAATTGAAAACTTCTATCAGTAAATGGTATTTTAAAATATTTCTTTCTGAGAATGACAGTATGAAACAAAATATTTTTCTAAAAAAATCCTCACTTACCTTTGCACGAACATTTTCAAATGATGCAGGACTCACAAGAGAAAAGCAAATTAAGAATACATCCTATAAAGAGGAAACACAAAGAGGCAGTTAGCAGTCTCACGGTGACGACTACAATACCGCTTTCTCTAAATGCTGCCCCGAAGGACACCTGGCTATAGTATGCGAGGCACTAGCCACTGGGACATAGCCCCTCAGCATCGTCAGAGGCTCTCAAACCAGCCCCAGCCCCTAGGCAGGCAGCTCCTTGTGAGAGGAGGGAATGGAGAGCAAAACACACTGTAAGTTATGTGGGGCTGCATCAAATCAGGTCCAGCGGCCTCTTTCCCATCATTCCCAACTCTCACTGGGAACCTCCCAGTCTGTACATGCAGGGACAAAGCCAAGTGTTGAGGCACTACTTCACTATTTCTGTAAGAAGTGGACTGGTTCCATAAAACAGGGTCAAAACCAATAGTATGCCTGTCACTATACCGTGTGCAGGCTAAGCACACATATTTCCAGTGACCCCTGGTTTCTACTTAGACTACTCCTTTAAGAGCTGCCCCCAGAGCTGCTGGCACAAAGCAGGGGTCCATCCCTCGGTGAGGGATGGTGGCCTGGGGGGGAAAGTGGCATCTCCCTAGCTGTCAGAGCTTTTCATACCTAGTAGGGCCTCTGGAAACCAGCAGCAGGGGCAGCTGTAGCTTAAGAGCAGATTCAGAGGAAGAGTGAGTGGAGGATCAGTAACTGAATTTCTGGCTGAATGTAAAATTTGGGTTTCTCCTCCAATTCCATATTGTGTAAAAAATCAAATTTAAATAATAGCCTGTATTTAAAAATGCCCAAGAGTTTCTGGAATGCTAGTGTACTTTTCCTGGAAAAAGGTAATTACACTACTCTGTGAAATGCACACAATTCCCAAGCTAACATTTTCAGTCATACAGCTGGTACCTTGTACCTGGAAGGGAAAGAAACATCCCACACAACAGCTTTTTATAAATGACATTTCAAAAATGCTAGTACATGCACAAGCTTGTCCAAGAATCACCACGACACCTGGGCCCCTTGATTACAAAAGCTCCAAGCAGGGTGGGTTAGCTCACCAGCGCCCCCGACAGCCTAGCGGGAGGAGGAGGCCCTGGCAGCCGCGGTTAGTCCCGCCCCGGCCAAGCACTCAGTGGATGGGCATCAAGGTGCAGCTTCCACACCTCCATCTGCAACCAGCCTGGAGACCCTTCCATAAAAGGCCCTCCTCCCCCATGAGGCGGGGAAGCAGCTCCTGAGCTGCTGTAATTCAGGCCGGTGGGTAAACTGTCAGGCTCTAATGAAAGCACATTTCATCCAGCAAAACTCCGACCTTGAGTGAAGTAAATAAATCTAACACACTCAAGAGCATGAGGCTCAGCAGGAAATCCTAGGAAAACTAAGTGAAATGAGAGAACAGACAAAGCTTGAAACTGAAATCGATTCAAAATCTTACATACGGCAATCGGCTTGTCTTTGCCCCTGGAGGTTAAATCCTTACCATACGTTTCTCCAACCTAGTAATGCACGAGAACTTGGTTTGAGTTTAGTAAAAATGGAGGGAAATGAAAATCAGTATAACCTCTTACTTATTCTTCAGCAGAATTGTTTTCAACTCCCACAAATCTAAAAGCAGATGATATTCTAACACGTCTGTGATGCCTCACGCCACCCAAAGCGTTCCACTAAGTCTAGCCAGAGGGGCGGAGGCCGAGGTCAGAAGGTGACCCGGACGCACACACAACGTTCCCGTCCCAGCAGGCTTTACAACATGCCCAAGAAGTCCACGCTGCTGCCTGGGAGGGTCGTGCCCCCCTCATGAAGGCATGCTAGTGGTAGCCACCGGCAACCATCAGTGACTGCCACACCTTTCAGAGATCTCCATCTGCGTTCTTGGACACAAAGCCAGGGGCAGCCCTGGCAAACAGAAAGCGCCTGTCTGTGAACCAGGGTCTCTGACAAAGGCCCTTAGGGGATGCCGCCAGGTCTGAGAGCTGTGACCCTGGCAAGTCTGCTGTGCAGAGAGGCTGGCCCCCTCTTCCCGCAAATTCTGGGAGAGTGGTTTGAACTGAGGGGCCTGCCATCCTGGAATGGACAGTGGGCCTGCACCAAGGCCTTCCTCCAACCTCCCAGTGGATGAGGCCACCCAGAAATGACAGCATTTCCAGTGTTTATCACAATGCTTTCAATTCATTCCTTTGTTCCAACAAAAATGGAAAAACATGCTCTTCCAGCAACATGGAATCCTGGAATTCTCTTAAGTGACAGACAAGAAAATTATTTTGACTTCATCTCAATTCTAGCTTTGATTTACAATGCAGAGAGAAGGTTACACTTTCTATAACTATCCTGGTTTAATCTATGGGCTATTTTTAAAGATCTGTCTTCCCACGGCTTTGACATGATGCCAAATCTTTATTGTAGTACAGGGACTCGGGATTGGCCACAAAAGGGCAGCTTCAAAATATCCTCTGACCACATCTGTTCTACCCTTTAACTTTTAAGATTTCCTTTTTGATAGAGAAGAAAACGCTTCCCATCCTCCGTTAACACTGCACCATCTGCCTGTTCATTCCTCCTCCTGCGTTCTTCCCCCACCAAAATATATATGGCTTCGGGCAAACAGTTCCAGTGCTTCTGACACTCAACTGCTAGCACCCAACCCTTCCAACCTTCGCCCTCTGACCTGGCACCCCGCATAGAGTCCAGGCAGCTCAGCCTGGCTGTGTGCCTGTCCCTGTAACATGGGCCCTCAGCGTGGCCCCCGTGGCACGGCCGATCTCATCCCCTGACGGGGCTGCAAGGTCCCAGGTCCTCCTCACGCCTCCGGACACACGACCTATCTGACCTCAGCAGGCTCATCTCACCTCCACTGACTGCGCCGTAAACCCAGTTCTCCCTCACTGGTCAAAGTGACAGCAATTCTGACAGCTGCTGTCCCAACCTGTGTGCAGAAGGTTTAATTCACAAAAAGACTAGCTGCCCTGAGGAGGAGAAGACCTTGGGTGGCTGGAATCTCATCCTCCAAAGGCACTGCTGTTTCTCCTTCTCCCCTTTTATTCTCTTCTGAAGACTTTCCACCTGGCTTTCACTTTCAGGCTTGGAATGTTAATACAGGCATTCCAAGCACTGGGGAAGGACCAGGACATACACGCCAAGTGTAGAGAAGCTGCATATTATGTCATCAACGTGGCGCTGCTAAAAAAACAATCTCAGAAGAGAAGCAGCCCGGCACTCACAGCTCTGCCCTGGCTTGTCCTGGTGAACAGAACCATCTCCCAGAACACCCACATCACACAAGGTCACTGTCACATGTGCTCAAAGACCGACAGAATAGAAGACAATCCCACAATGTTGTCTAAGCACAAAAGCCAGGTTACCATGGAGACATTCCCCCCTCCAGCCAACAAGACTGCTGGCCTTGCACTGCGCCGATGACATCACAGCTTTGACCCTGCCTCCTTGGGGAGACATGCAGGAACACCCACAAAACCACCCTTCTTCCTGCCAGCACCCAGTCCAGAGCCCAGCCCTGGTTCCCTGAGCAGCACCCACTTCACCCAACACAAGCCCAGACGTCACCCCACCGACCCTGAGGTGGGCTGACTCCCTCCTGGCAGAGTAACAGGCCCAATTTTGCTTAACCACAGGTGTGTCCCTTTGGTGGGAGACACTGCCGCTGTAGCAGCCAGCCTAACAAGGCGTTAAGCCCCCTGAAAATCTAAACTGCCCAGCTATACACCAGAGCTCAAGCAGGGGCCCAGACTGGCCCGAGCACCCAGAGGCCCACTGCCTCGGAGCCCGCAGCGGGCAGCAGGGCCTCTCATGGCATGCCCAGGGCTCAGGCGAGTCACCTGTCGCACTCATACCACTAACTCCTGGACAAGGGAGCAAATACAGGTGACCAGACACAATGCAGTGTGTGGGCTTGAACACATTGCTGGTCACACCTTGATTCTTAGCATATAACTGAAGGTGGCTCTCCACAACTTAAGGAATGTTTTAAAGGAGATTATAAAAATGTATTAAAGGAGAGAACAGCCCTATGGGTAACTTAATTAGAAAGATTAAAACCTGACGGGCAATTTACATTGATAATGATGACTACTTGCTCCCCACTTCTGGAGAACAAAGTAGGAACTAGTGGCTTACACAGAGGTGACTTAGCTAACAGAACTGCCCAAGAGGGGGACACCAGTAGTCAATGACCATGGGAAAGAAAACGTCTCCTTTTAGTCACAAAGAGCTCAAGGGAGCTGAGGTTCAGACAAGCACTAGTCCTACTGGCCTTTCAGGAGTGGGTCTGAGCACAGTCATGCTTGGGCCCTATCAACAGGCCTGCAGACCCAGAGGCTGTGCTCACTTACAAGAAGTTGAGATGTTTACCCCTAGCCACCAAGAAACCAAGGTGTGAGCCTGAAACTGCCGGCACCTGCCCCTGGTGGGAGGGCACGCCTCAGGGGGGAGTGGCCCTCCACGGGTGCCCCAGCACTGGGGGCCAGCCCTCGGCAGCCAAGGTGACATCCTCATCGCCAGAGGAGCCCAGGCAGGCACTCCTTCCGCCGCTAGTTGGCTGCCCTCCCATCTCTGAGACTGAGTGCCCACTCACCCAGCCCTGTGCTGGCACCTGTCACACACAATCTGGGAGCCATGTGAGGGTGGGAAGCATGTCTTCCTCCCATTTTGTGGTTCAATTATTTACAGGAAAATAGTCCAGTGCTTCACACAGGTGAAACATAAAAAGCTTCAGTCCTGGCCCCAGAAAGACAACCACACCCACTTGGATTTCAGGCCTCACACACTCCAGCTTGACTCAATCTGTTACTTAGTTGTTTTCTTCAGCACACAAAGTGAGACTCTTGCCAAGTCACCTTTGACTTTGTGAGTGCCTCCTTCAGAGAGCAGGGCCGCGCCCTGCTCAGGGCCCACTGAGTCACAGGAGGAGGTCCACCTTTCTCAGAAGTGACACTCCACCCTTCTAGAAGTATCCAAGAGTTAGAGACTCCTCCTCTCCCAGTCGGTCTGTTAGCAAATATATTTAAATCTGGAACTATTAAGCACCTACTGGGTATCAAATAGTTTTCTAGACAAAATGCAGAGCTTGAAACATTTGGTCATTACAGGCTGATTTTTAATACTTAATCACAATTAAATTTTAGCTGGAGATTAGCTGAAAACCCATCCAATTCAAACCTCCTATTTTAAAGGTTTGCTCTGTTTAGCACTGCTATCAGAATTCAGCTAAAGGACAATCAGCAAAAATCTATAGGTCAAAGAAACTGTTTGGCAATTAACTTTTCCAGCAGGACACAAATAGAAAAAACCAGTAACTGTTGCATGGAAAAAACTGTGTTCAAAAGTTTAAAACTATCATTACTAAACACGAAGCTTATTTAGAAACAAAACAAAAACAAGATTTGAGCTGGCTGTTTACCTACAGATTAGTTGTTTTCACCTACAGAACCCCCCAAGACAAAGTGATGGAGTCAGAACCTGCCTACTCCACTCCAGGGCACCTCCCTGACCCTGACCCCTGACCCTGACCGACCCCTCTAGCCATCCCCCTGCTGATAGCACGTGTGGCTCTAACTGAGGAGCTCCCCAGACTGCACAGAACAGGGACACGAGAACGAGGAGTCCTGGCAGCAGCTGCACTAGAGCATGTGTGACATGCCTGGGCACTTTTCCCGACTATGAACTCATCTAATCCCACGGGGAACAGGTCAAGTCCAGAGCCAGGAAGGAACCTGCCCACGTCACACAGCCAGAAGACAGAGAGCAAAACTGAGCCCAAGGAATCTGCTAACTGGCCAGTTAGTCACTAAGTCTCCCAAGTTATTTTAAAATAGATTTTTAAAACAAAAAACAAACATGTAACAAGATAAGCAAAATGATACAAGTAAGACAACTGCTTAAAGAAAGGTGGCTTCTAACCACCTTTTCACCAGCTACTGCTCTAATTAGCTGCGGTAAACAGTCCACTTAGTTGTCTGACACAGAAGCAAAACTAAGTTCTCCTGACAGGATACAGTGGATTCATTTTTACAAAACTGAAACCTCAATCTTTAGGTACTAAAGCCAAAGGGAATGAACACGTATTTTATAGAAAAACGGAATCAAACCCATAAGATTAATTACCAGCTTGAGGTAAAGAAACCTTAATCCTAACTCCTTAATTTGATTCTGTGATTCTTTAAAACTATCACAAAGCAAACCAACCTGGAAACTACCTGCTGATAACACTGGTTTGCAACAATAAAGCAGTACCTATTTGGTAGGTTGTCCCAAAACTAAATGAAGCATGTAAAACGCACGCCACCACATGGAGTATGGTAATGCTCAAAAACTAAAAACAAAATCTGGGTGTGCATCTAGGGGGATATTCACTATGAACTACTTCAACTTTGCTGTTACTCAGTATACCCAAAAGATGGCAATATAAGCCAATCCACAAGTGACACCCAATTAATTAAACATTCAGGAATTGTATGGCCTAAAGTCATGATCCTTACTGTTTGTGGATACGACAGGGGACGTAATCTGTCATAATCCTCTTGTCCAGCTGTATCCCATAAGCCCAGATTCACCGGTTTTCCATCTACCATGACATTGGCGGAATAGTTGTCAAAGCTGCAAAATGGAATAACAATGGTTAGTCTTCAGTCCTGGAGCCTAAGGCAGCCCGGTCCTGGGCAGGTGTGCAGTGGGCCAGGAGAGGCCAGCAAAGGCCCCACCCAACAGCCCCAAGACAGCCTTCCCCGGCTAAGTGGAGGAAAACAAATGTACAACTTAAAAACAGTGCCTGAGAACAAAGGACGAACTACTAACTTTGATGAGAACAAATTGCTGTCAGCAATAAAAAAACCTTTGCTTTATCAGAACATGGTAGTTTTTCTACCCAAGAAGATAAAATCAGTCCTCCTTTCAAATCCCACCATTGAGTTTTCCCTGTAATCTGATTCATTTTCAACAAGGTGGCACAGCACTAGAGCTGTTTGCTGTGTTATTTCCAGAACTCCCACCTGATAGGAGACTGGTAATGAGTCAAGTGTTTGTCATCCATGCCTACAACCTTAGCAGAGTAACAAAACAAACCTGATTTGAGAAGCAATCAGGTAGCATTTTCGTAGTGAGTGTACCAGATTACATACTTGAATTAACCTGAAGTTCCTACACACAAATTAGTTCAAGATAAAAACAGGTAGCACAGAAAAGCCTACAGAGTGACAAGGGGAAAAGAAAGTTGACATTAAAAAATTATGAGAACAAGTAGAATAGCTCATTAAAAAGAAAATCTGGCATTGCAATTCAAACCAGGGCAAGTGCCAAACAGAACGCAATACATCAGCCTTTTACAATAAAATTCCTGAATTCATTTTTACATACTCTTAAGACTAAAAGGTAGGGTTTTATGACACTGACAGCAAAGTCAAGGTCGGATTAAGGTTTCAATGTGGCTTATAGACCTTAGTGACCAGACTAATTTTCAGAAAGAAAAGATTTGATGTGTTGTCATTTTGCTTCCTGAGAAAAGGACAGATTATTCAATAAATGGTATTGTGATTTTTTTTTCCATCTGGAAAAAAGAATCAGATGCCTGCCTATACGAAAAAATAAATTCTAAATGAATTAGAGGTAAAAACATTAGCAATAAAAAACCTAGGAAAAACACTAGAGAATATTTTTGCATTCCCAAAGTAGGAATGGTCTTCCTAAGGAAGACATAAAGCTTAGGGAAGGGAGAATGGCATATTTATGGCAGAAGACCCTGGAAAAAAGTTGAGACAAATGAGAGACAGACAGATTAATATTTCCTACATATAGAAGAGTTCCATCCACAAGAAAAAAATCCAGTAGAAAGACAAGCAGAGGATTCCCACAGGCGATGCACAGAAGACGGTCAGAGGGCAGCCAACAGTCAAGAGGCTTGAGCCTCACCATGATTGCAAATGCAAACGTGAGGGAGCATTTCTCAACCATGTTATCCACAGTCCCTATCAAGGGGCCACTTCAGGCACGGCTGGTCACAATAGCCAGTTTTTCAGACAGCAAGAGGGTGGTATCTATCCAAACTGAAAATGTCCGCTTGCTTTTGATTTGGCCTAATTTCACTTCACAAAGATCACATGTGCACAGAGGCAAGTGCAAGGTGGCTCAACACAGCACTGTTTGTAACGCCACAAGAAAAAGACCCAGTGACTAGTGGACATGTCAGCAACAGGCCCTCCAAGTCATTAACAACTGTAAATAATTTAGCTCTATCTACACGTGTGGATATGTGAGTCCCACCATAAATTCAGGACATGGACAGTGTCCAAATTCAGACACCTCAGAGAGCACCTAAGCTGTTCTCAAGAAGGCGAGCCCGGGAGGGAACTGGTGCTGCGTCTCCACCAGGATGGGTGCAGGTGGCATGGGGCTCCCCAGGAACCTCACTGTCAGAGAGCACCTTCCTGTCCCACCCCGTTCAGCTCCAACAGGAAACAAAAAAGCAGCTCAGGATCCAGTTTGTCCATCCTCCCACCCCCCACTCCCATTTCAATTCCAAAGCTGATAACAGTGACATGTTACCCCCTGGATTACTTGCCAGAAAAGGCCAATTAAAATATAATTTCATGTTCCACTCCTTGATCCTTCACATAGAGCCCAGAGAGTCAAATTTATCTGAAACTCTTACATTATCCAGTCTCAGTACTTCACAGTGAGTTTGTTAACTTTGTTTCCAATGTCTAAATGCCAATTAGGAAAGCTGTGTGTTTCATCAGTAAGTGGAAACTTTACATTAAGTATTTTGTAAAAGCCCAAAGGTCAAAGGAATCCGAAAAACACAAGTTCATTCCAGATGTAGCTCAAGATACTTACACAGTGGGGATGTACTCTCCAGGAAACGCGTTGGTTGTGTAACTGATCAGGAGGCAAGTTTTACCTACAGCTCTAGGGGGAGAGAAGGACACCATGTAAGTTGCCTGGTCAACATGAACATAACCCTGGCTTTCATTACTGTGAAAACGTACAGAAAAAGCAAGGAGTGAACACCAAGTACTCAGCACTGAAGAAAACAATCAGCTTCTGTAACTTATATTTAACACTACACATGTATTTTTACCCTGAAAATTAAAGTAAACTAGAATTTCTCAGGAAGGCAGGGTCAGGGTTAGCTACATGAAATTAACACTAAGTCATACATAATTGTTATATAAACACAAGACTCAAGAGGAACAGCACTTCAAAATTCAGTCTCTTCTGTGAATGTCTGAAGAAGTCCTTCATAGAAAAACCTTCCATTCTATCCCACTATCTTGATAAACACTAGTATGCAAACCCAGCTTCCCTCTGTGACTTGCACTCTGTTGCCGAGTAACATGTTTTGGGGCCTCTGGAGCAGCACAGTCGCACTGCCTTCCCGAGACTCACCTCTGGTTGGCTGTCAGGACTGTCCTTTTCACAGAGCACGTGGCTACCAACCAAACAGACTACTCCACTTTCACCTCACCTGTGCTCACCGGCCACCTTCCCAGCTCATCGTGGCATATCGCTGTAAGCTTTTTGAGCAGCTATATAACCCAAACATTTTAGTTGATGCCTAAGCGATGCTACTGTAAACTTTCCAAACAGCTGCAAAGAGGAGAAAGTAGAAGAGAACTGGGTAGAAATACTCAAGAGTTGGGAGGGCCTACTTCACCCTTGCAGTGGGTGCAGTGGGCCATCAGGCAGAGGTCAGAGTGGTGGCTGAGAACCTCCCAGCTACGTGCCATTTCCTCCACGAGAGTATCACCTAAAATCACTGCACCGTTAGCCAAAAACGAGTCCCCCAATTTCACAACACTCACAGGGTGACAGCAGGGGCTTCTGAGAGCCCGTGTCCCTGGCCTCCTAAGGGTCCACCCAGTGCTCTCCTGACAGGGGCCCACCTCCCTGTGGCCCTCTCCTGGCTCACCAAGGTCATGTGATGCACCCAAGTTCTGGGTTGTTAAGATTCTGTTCTCAATGGCAACTACTATAAATTAGGACTCACCATAAACAAGTAAATGCTTTTCTGTGGTCCTTCAATCTTAGGTTAAGGCAAAAACCTCTCAAGGAGGGCAAATTACAGGCCTATCCAGTCTTGCCAATACTTGTTTTACTCAACATTATTAAGGGCTTAAAAGCTGGAACTCCCCCACCCCAAAGACCTCACAAAGTCAAACATTACTTCACCAGGAGGTAGGTTCCAAATCCTAAAGCTTTCTGAACAGAAATGTCTCACTGCCCATACATTCTATTAAAAGCCTAGAATGTCAAAATAAAACTGGGTAAGAAGTCTAAGATTTGGAGTCATTACACAGGAATTGAGACCCATGGCTGGGATTTTTTATAAGTTGCAACTTCTTTATGTCTCAGTTTTCTCAACTGTAAAATGGACACAAAACTACCAACCCCTATCACGAAACTATTGTGAGAAGTAATTCAATTTCAATCTATACCAGTGAACTGTATTCTATGCCAGAAAGTGTACCAGATGCTAACGACATTGCAAACAAACAAGACCTTGTGGAACATCTACAGTTATTAAACTAAAAACTGAAGAATGCAGTTGTTCAATAAAATTATACAGGTGTGGTAAGTGTTAAGATGCCCTGGAAATATACAGCAAAGGGAGCTACCCAGTCTGGGGGTGGTTAGAGGCTGCAAAGTACGCCAAGATTTAGGAGAAGCAGGGCCACGGTAGGGAGGAACATTCTAGGCAAAAGCAACAGTACACAGGAAGGCCCAGACTAAAAGCAGCCCAGGGTAATAACTGAAGAACAAAAACGGGGGACGTGGTGGAGTAAAATCAGAAGAAGCTGTCTTCTCTTGTTAGGGATGTGGGGATTAATCATAACTTGGGAAGTCACAGAAGGCTTTTAGTTGCCAAAAAGCCAGTAGATTTGCATTTTTAGAAGCCTCAGCCTGCAATGCAGTGTGGAAAGGAGACTGAGGAAGCTGGGACTAGGAGGCAGGAGAACAAGAAAGCAGCCGCCGCCTGAGCAGGAACCACCCAGAGGGGTCTGTCTGAGCCAGTGAGAAGGTCACGGGGTGAAGAGAAGTGGGCCATCTCAAGAGCCACCTAGACAGGAGGTGGTAGGTGAGGAAGAGTGGAGTCTTTGAGGCTATGATAAGTATACCTCTGTTCAAATTACCAATGTTGTGTAAAAATGGTAAAACAGCTGCTGCCTCCTAAGATCAACAGGCAGCTACAGAGGCTTTAAATGCTACGTTAAAATGTCGCAGTAGCACTTCCTTGAAGATCCTGTCCCAAGTCTCTTCTGTATGTATGAGGAACAAAGCCATTACTATAAATAAGACCAACTGTGCTTTTAAATACTCTAAAATGTATTTTCCTGATTTTCTGAAACCGCTTCAGTTGAGTCATCATCATTTGAAAGGTTTCACTGTAAAGGAATTCAAGGTACTGGGCACAAGCCTCTTATGGACTGAAACTTTGTTACTAATCATCATTTGCTATAAACCTGTGTTCTGTAAAATTAATTAAATTATAAAATTCTGACTTCTTGAATAAATACATGTCCAAACTTTACTTTTTTAAAAGACAAAAAGAAAAAGAAAATGGCTATTTACCTCCCATTAGTGTACTTACTCACTTCTTTTAAACACACTCCACAAATAAGGATTTGGAGCCAAAGTCAACAGCAGCTCCAGGCCAGGTCATGGCTTCCCACACATGAAGGATGGAAGCCAAATTTGGTCACAGCCTTGACTGATGCTGCTGCAGAATTTCTGGAAGTTACTATTTGCTTTGGAATTTCCAGTTTTATGTATTCAACTGTTCAGTTCAACCTTAGTCTTTGAAAGATGCTCTAACTCTAGAAAATGAACATGATTCTACTGGAAGAGAGGTCATGCGAGCATATTTTAAAAATCTATCTATGCTTCTGCTCTAACTGGTAGAAATAACCAAGACTAAAGCCAATAACATGCTCCTATAATGAATTAAAATAAAAGAACTTTAAGGGAATGTTACTGAAAATTTTTTTGTAAACTTCAGTGTTACTACCTGAAATTTACAAATCAAAACTTAAAAGCACAAATTTATTTACAATCAATAAATCTGAAAATAATGGCAATTTCCTCAAGTTAAAAAAAAAAAGCAAGGGATCCAGGTGCTCAAATAAGAACCTTCTGCATTGTCTTTTTTTAAAAAGATAAACTAATCTCAGTAGGACAGAAAAACAAGGTTTCTGCAATGATAACAGTAAAGCAAAAAAGGAACCTGTATATATTGCTATCTAAAAGTACCTAGACCTTAATGACAAATTAACATGTAGTGCAATGTGAATCACAAGTATCAGAAATATATTCATACTCACTGCATAAATGAAAGACCCTGAATCAAAGTCCTCAAATGAGGGTTGGGGGCTGTGCAAAAGTAGGCCTTCAGTAAATGTAACTATGTAGAGAATAAGTTCAGAAAATGTATTAAGTAAACGTAGTTAGGGTGACAAAAACACAACATCCAACGTGAAATTCTGATCTTTAGCCACTATCAGAGGACATCATAACCAACTTACAGAGGGCCAGCCATTACCACCATTGGAGGCTTCAAAAAACTCAGATTCTGTACAGTTTCTAGGCAAAAGATGCTACTGGTAACAGAGTTAAGCCTGAAGCAGCCATTCCTTTAGACCATCCTTCTAAAACCACCGAACCTAGATACATGATAAATCAAACAGGGCAAAATGCTGATTACAGAATCTTAGTGGTGGGTGAATGGGTGGTTCACTGTACCATTCTCCCAACTTTTAATTATGTTTGAAACTTTTCATATTGAGATGCTGGAAGAAAAATATTCCTTTTGATGACATGTGGTAACACCCTGGGTAGCAGGATTCCTGAAAAAAATACCTCCTTCTTGGAAGACTAAGAGTGTAAATTAGAGCTGCCTGGTGATGCAGAGATGAAAATATACTACATTTAGATGACTGATGCAGAAGGCAGAACATAAAGAAGGTGTCTTTAAGGTTTCTAAAAAGGGACTCCTGGTTCTCATCTTCTGAGATTAACCTGCAATTTTTACTGGGTTATCGTGAAATTAAAAAAAGAAATGTGTAATTTGGAAGCAAGTGCAGGATTCAAACACCATTACTACAACAGTTCAAAAATGTGCAACTACATGCTTGGAACAAAAAACACAAAGACAATTTTGAAGAAGTGCTTGAACAAATTCCAGGACCACGCCATCACTGACTGCTCAACATAAGTGCGGAGTAACTCGTGTAGTACATTCCGATAAAGGTGACATCATGTAAGGCATTTCTCATGCTCAACTAAAAAAACTCCTGGACAGCAACGTCTAAATTAGACACTGGTTGGACCACCACCCCCATCTGGAGCAGAATGAGGTAGGGCTTCCAGACGGACATTCATTCACTCAGCCTTCTAGGCAACCAAGGCCAAAATAATACAATTAAAAAAGGATGCATATAAATATCTGAATGGTGAGATACAGTCTATCTGACTGAAGCAAAGCTGAGAGAAAATCTTGAGGCAGAGACCCCCCACCACCACCAAAATAAAAGTGACAGACCCAGGGTTCAGGAAGGACTAATAATTAAGATCAACAGGATTCACAGAATAAAAAAGTATCACTTTATCTCATATTTTGTACTAAGTGCCAAGTGAATTGCTATATAGGGAACAATCCATTAGAAGAATATAGGTTAACTGATCCTGGTTATAAGATGGTCTTGACACAGCTTTTAACCATAATTCCCAAGAATATTTTTAAAATAAGGAAGCTTGCAATTTGTGGACCTGTTTGCCTTCACTGCTTAAAGTACCTGAAAATCCCCAACATTCAGGAATCAGCAATAATAACACTGGCAGCTAGCACTTGCTAAGCTAAGCACTCAGCAGGGGCCAGGCACCAAGGAGGCACTTCATATCCAGTACCTGTTTAACCCTCACAACTTCCCCTTAAGGCACATCTCCTGGAGGCTGAGTGATAAGCTCAGGGTTTCCCTTAGGTAGTGGGTGAGGATTTGAAGGAAGGATCCAGATCCCACTGCAGGCATTCAACAAGTATTTGACTAGATAAACAAGCCAATACAAACAAGTAGGGAGAGTTCCATAATCTTTAAGTATTAAATAAATTGTATCTGCTGTGCTTACATTTTAGTTTCAGAAATTTTCAATACTATATACTATGAACAATGAATTACCAGCAATTTGACCTTTTAGAACATTAGTATTTCATATTCTAGGCATTACTGATTTAGCATTTTCAAGGGAAATTCAGATAATTTTAAATGTCCCTAAGACAAAGGAACAAATGTTTAGTTAACTCATTACGCAAAAGGATCACTTCATTTAAATGAATTTACTGATTTCAGCATTAAACCAATTAAATGAACATTTTTCCCCTAAATGAAAGTAAAGTTTTCCTTTAAAGGGTTAAAAAAAAGGACCACACTTATTCCTAAGTAGGTGAAACTTAGGGTTTATATACACAGAACCATTAAGTATTAATAATCCTTCACATGTGTGTGTCTGACAAATCCGACAGGCGGGGGTGGGGGGTGGGGGGTGGGCATTTTTTAAAAATCAGTTGTCTGATTGTCCGTCTTGTATCTTAATTACAGAAACAATTCCCAACATCTCATTTACAGTGATCTAATGAGAATTCACAAATTGAGAGGTGTAAAAACTTTGGGGAGCATTAATCAAAAGAACAGTGAGGCCAGAACAATTCCTTTGCCTTTCCAAGACTCCAAAAATGTACCAGTTGCCTTCTGAGTTGGATGAAACTAGCAGTAATTCTTGCAGCTTCCTTGTTTAACGCGTAACTACTCGAGCAATGCTGAAACATACAATTTTGCTCGTACTACACTGAGATTCTTGTTTCTACGGGACAAAAAAAACTGCATAAGACAAATCTTGTCTTATTCGAGGGCCCGTAACCACCACAGACAGTAATGAAAAGAAATGCCTTGAGTCATAGGGCAGCTCGGCTCTGGGAGCCTGTTCTGCTACGTCCCATACCTAAAGCAGCAAGCGAAAGCCAATTGTTTTTCCTTTTTCCTTTTTTTGTTTTTTAGGGACCACACCACGTTGAAACAGTCTTAATCGCACCAAACTCCTCGCAGCTAAAATCGTAAAGGCTTCTCCGCTTAAACAGCAAAAGTAATCACTTTTAAAAAATCCTAAAAGTGGCCATGCACAAGTGGAAGACACCCCAGGTGAATCAGTTTAGGGTCACCAAAACAGCCCAAGCAAACAGTCGTCAAACAGTATCTCCCTGATCTCCGGGTCCCACGGAAGCTCTTCGCCGGGCAAGAAAGGGTTCTGTTCTCAAAAAGGCAGCTAAGCCCACCTAAGCCACAGGCGGGCGCGGGGCGACACGCGGTCCGCGGCCCGGGAGAGCGGGAGGGTGGAGTTTACTCTTCTTCTGGCTGCCGTCGGCAACTCCCTCCCCGACCGCGGACACGCCGGAGCCAGGCCCGCGCCGCCCGGTCCCGGGGAGCCCCGCCCCGCCCCGACCCCGGCGCGGCCCGCGCACTCACCCGTCCCCCACCACCACACACTTGATGGCCTGCATCTGGGCCGCTCGCGGGGCCGCGGCGGCGGCGGGCACTGAGGCGGGGAGCGGCGGGCTCGGGCGCGGCGGGTGGGCGCGCGGCTGCAGGCGGCGGGGCGCGGAGTACCGGGACCGCTGTCCACGCCGCCTCGCCCTCCGCTGACGGGAAGCCGAGGCTGACCACCGGCCACCACCCAACGCTGGGGAAAACTGCAGAGAAACAGGAAATGGCCGCTCCACTCACATCCGGTCTCCCCTCCCCCGCGCCGGCGCCGCCGCTCCCAGGCTCGGGGGCGGGGTTGCTCCCGCCCGCGCCGCACGCGGACTGCCTCTGGGCTTCGGGAACGCTCGGGAGCGCTCGGCTCCAGCCGCGGGGCGGGGCGCGGCGCGTAGCGGACGGCCGCCATCTTGGCACGCTGACGGGCGCGGTGAGGGCTCCGCATGCGCTCGGCCCTTGGGGAACCCAGGAGAACGGCTCTGGCTTCGGGAGCCCTGCCCCGCGCTGCCTCCCGGCTCCTGGACGACGCTGTCCGAAGGGCGTTCACCAGTGCTAATAACGTGCTAACCGTAATTTACATCATCACAAGGTCCTTCTAGAAAATTCTAAACCTTTAAACCATAAGGAGCAAAGGAACACACCGCATCATTATCCGCAGATAACCCATGTTCATTCGGCGAGAAATGCGTGGAACTTTCTTCTCTTGAGCGAGCATTGTCTGTTAGTTTTAATGCGTTGGGCGTTTATGGCCTAGACTGTATCAAGTTCTAGGAATTAAGTATTTTTGTTAGCAGTTAATTAAAGTGCCAATATTTGGTGTATTTCATTTCTTTGTAGACATAACGCGCATGTTTTAAACAAAATTGAGAAATCGAAACTGAGTCAACATTTTTAATGGCTGCTTACTATTTATACCATTATGCGCATGTACCTTAATTTAACCAACTCCCCTAGTACTGGGCAGTGAACTGTCCCTATTTAAGAAACAACTCTGGGATGAACAGATTGGTGAGGAATCTTTTGTAAGTTTATTCCTTTAGACTACATTCCTCGTAATGGGTTAACGGGTGAATGTTTTTACCGCGTTTGGTACATGTTGCACGGCCTCCTGCGGAGTGGTAACCAGTTCATGCCTCCATCAGCTCCGAGAGTGGAGAGTCGCAGGGAGTTGATTTCCAATGATATTTTCATCCTGTAGTTTCACCTCCTTTTATTCACTCTGCTGCTCCATACTGTAATAGTTTTCTGAAATCAGACCTTTTCTACGCGAGCATTTTTTTTAAGCTTTTTTGTCTCGCAGTTACTTCCAAACATTTTCCCAAAGCAAACGACATCTCCTTTTTCATAAAAATCTCCCTTGACGAGGAGTTGGAATTTCAAGGGTAATAGAGCTATAGTTCCTTTGCTGATAAAAATTTCCAGTGAATTATGAAAAACCTAAACTACTAGGAATAATTATCTTCATGTCATTAGACCAGGTGTAAATAAAAGGGTGGGACCTCTGTTCAATTATTTAATTCAATCGAGCAAATATTTGAATGCCGCTATTGTGTAATGGACTGGTAGTAAATGACCCAGATAAGGATATAGTTGCCAGGATACCATACCCACTGTGCTCAGTGCTAGAAGGAGGTACAAATACTGTGCTTATCAGGAGGCAAAAAACCATATTCACGTTGATAAAAAGGCTTTCATCAAACAAATGAGAGATGAAAGATGAGTCTGGGTAGGAATTCTGGTAGGTTTTGAGGGAATATGAAAGCATTTCCCAGAGAGCAAACTAAGTCCTGGAAGTCAGCGGCTCAGGGTCAACATCAGATGTGACAAGGGGAGAGCCAGGTGTTTGAGCTGCTCCAGGTCTAGTGTCCAGTGAGGTAATCACAGGCTGGATTACAGATTGTCTTGGGCATGGACTTTATTCTGGTATGACATGAATGTTTGAGCCAACATATGACACAGCACATTCAGATCTTTATTTCTCTAGATTGATAAAGGGAAAGTCCACCCGATAAGACGTTTGACCATGATTGTGAAATGACAAAACGTACAACAGACGTATGAAATCAGCTTTAATTTAAAACTGCGTCAAAACTGCATTAGTTTAAAACTTAATTTAAAACTTCTCCAAGTTTGGCCTTGAGTATCTATTTGTAATGTTCTCCATGGCAAAAAAAAAAAAAAGATCTAAAAGTTCAAATGAAAACTAAATAAGCAAATAATTAGACCATGTGTGCTTCTAAATGTGTTACATAGCTGTTTCTCAGATGCCTTTACATATGCAATTGTATATCCTATTTAGGCCCTTCATTCAAAGTCTTCCATTTATTCTGTTCCAATCACCAAGTGTTGGAAGTGTGAAATGAACAAAGGTCTCTGCCATCAGGGCACCTATATTCTGGAGAGGGAGATGCTTAGTAGGCAAACGAACATAGAGTACTCATTTCCAGGTTAACATGACAGATTAGAACCAGGTATCTCATTTCACTTCTATCCAAACCCCACCAGAACTTCAGAAAAGGGATTAAAAAAAAACTTAATTCGAGAACAGAAAGTATAGAGAAGATGAGATATTGGAAGCGGGAATGAGGGGACAGACTGGTTGTAACTGATTTAGTTACCTAGACTGGCAATGGGAAAAGTCTATCCACACCAGAGAATCATCAAAGGCTGCGACCTGGGAGCACCAGGCCCTTGTGGAGCTGGGGATGAGGGGAGTATAGGAAGGAAATGGGGTGACAGCTGAGAAGCAGCCACAGGCCATCTACATGCTTCCTATAATGCACCAGACAAGGTGGCATTTATAGGAAGGGACCTTCTGCACGGGCCGGAGGTCCCTCTCTAGAGAGACTAAAGCTGACAGTATTTAGATGGGGATGTTTTAGAGGGTGGGGGAAGGTAGTGTGCAGGCCCAGGGCCTGGAAAAAAAAACAAATACAGAGGGATTTAGTAGCCTAGGCTGAATCTTTTCCTTTCCTATCCCCCTCCTCCACGGCTCCTGCTGGCAGTCACCTCACAGTTGGAGAGTAGAGGATGGAGGGACCTTCTCTGTGGAATTTGTCCAGCCCAGGAGGAAAGACCAAACAGATAACAACACGGGGAGGAGTCTCCAGGAAGCCTCCCGCTCCCTACAGAGCTTTCTATTAACTCTTAGTTTCCCATCTCTGATCAGCAACAGACAACCATAGATTAAAAGATACATGAGGAAAAAGCTAGATTTTTCTAGAAGCTAAAAATCAAAATAAATCTGGGGAAAACAAAAACTGGGGAGGGAGAAGGAAAAACCTCAGAAATTGAAAACAAACTAGCAGGAAAAACTCAGCAAAAAGGTTGAAACATCAAGTCTGAGAAAATCTCTCAGAAGACCTGAAAACCTAAAGAGATAAGAAATACAAAACGGCAAGAACATTGGGGGACTAGCCCAGGAGGTCCAACTATCCTAATAATATCCTGCAATTAAAAAGAAAGAGCAAAGAAAAAGCAAAGAAAAAACATCTATGAAAATATTCCAGGGAATTTCCCTGACCTGAAGGACATGAGTTTACAGGTGGAAAATGTCTGCCCAGTGAATGAAAATAGACCCACCCCTCTAGAACCTGACTGAAAGTTATGAATAACGGGAACAGATAAGCTCCAGCAACTTCCAAAGAGAAAGCACAGATCATAAGCAAACAGGAAATAGAATGGCTTTAGGTTCCACAGTAGCTACCCTGGCGGAGCAACAGCTGCAAGATGCTGAAGGAAAATGATTTCAACCAAGAATTCTATTTATAGTGAAACTATTGATCAAGTGGGCTGGTAAAATAAGAACATTTTCAGACAAGTAAGTTCTCAAAAAAGTTTTACCTCCCACACACCATATCCCAGGAAGTTGCTGGAACATGTGTTCCTCCAGTAGGAGGAAATAAACCAAAAGAAACCGTTGCCAGGCAGCTGAGTCTGGGGAGGTCTCTCCCTGCACAGTAGCTGAAGCTCTGGGAGAAACCTCAACCTGAGCGGGAGGCTCTTGCTCTCAACGAGGAAGAATTCTAAAGCAGTTTGGACGAGTTTGGCTTTGGAAAGAATTCATTAAAGCCAGAGTACTAGTGAATGGCAGCTGCAGGAGGAGCAGAAGGAGGAAGGAGAAGCTCATTGAGCTCCTGCTTGCGGCATAGGTCAAATCCCCTGCCAACTCCTGAAGCCAGGGTCACTTGGCATCCTGTGTCGGCTTAAAATCTGCACAGAGTGGGAACTAAGCCCCTACCACCGCAGGATTTGGGGGAGCAGCAAAACACTGGATGAAGTGAGATTATGTTCTGAGAACTTTCCAAAGGCAAAGAAAGGAGATTTATTTCAGGCAGGCTACTAAAGAGCACAATTGTACAACTGCAGTTCTATCCGGGTCACCCAGGCGATAGGAACTTGCAAGCCCAAATCAGAGATCTCAGTAGCCCCTTCTTACTTGTGGGAAGTAGGGCAGAGAGAGTGAAGACTTGTGCTTAAGTCTAGAAAATTGAATGAAATAGCAAAGTAACAAAGATGCCACTGGAAGAATACAGAGACAAAATGTAGTAAGTTGAGCTGTGAGAAGTTTTTATTTAAGGCAAAAAAAACCCTTGAAGAAAGAGGCGTGTAGACAACCCAGAGAGGAGGCGCACATGCAGGCTTAAGATTATGTCTTCTAAGGCTTTCAAGAATGGGGCAAAGGGTGGCAGGGGGCGCAGAGTGGGACGGGAGTTGTGTGTAGGCTTGACATGTGGTCTCATGATGTCTCTCTCCTGTGAGAGACATTATGTCACCATTCACAGTCGGTCCTCTAGATTATTCTATAAGATAAATTTAACACAAGGAATGTATTGATCTTGTTCTTCTCAAAGATAATAGTTACCCTCAAGCAGTAGAGACATTCCATTTAGGACTATGTGCCTGTCCTAAGATAGAGGCAGTTGTTGGCTGATTACCAAAGAATATGTTAGGAATCTTACCTCCTAACTCCCTGAGTTTTTTTAAATGGCATCTTGGCCTTAAGATGGAGTCCCTCCTGTTCTTAGTATACTGTTTACATCTTGGCATTCTTCATCACAGGCAGGAAAAGTTAATCATGGTGCTTGTCCCGTGTTCCTGCCCCACCTCAAAGCTGTGAGCCAGTAACTGGAGATCCAATGCAGCACAGGGAGGAAAGGGTGCCTTCCCCAGCCCCACCCCCAGGGAT